ATACTTACCAATATAGGGAAGCTAACCCACGGCTTCGGCGTGACGACCGAACGCTTTAACTACGAGGCTACCCTGTCGTTCCTCTACCGGAATGAACCAGAAACAGTGTGCAGTACTTGACGTATTGGTGTTAAGCTGATAAAACGGCATTCAAACGGATACTATTAAAATTTTGACGCGAGTTCCCGTTCTCATTGTCTAATCAGGGCAGATGTCTTTACCAAGAATCAGGAACAAGTTACATTAATCTGCACACTTTGATTCTCACAATGTTTTGCTCATAAACATTACTTCTCGAGAAACATCCTGGGAATAATGTCCATCATATACGAATGTCCAGGGAATGAAGTGAGGTGAAATGGGTTTGATCGCCTTCAAGATTGTTGCACTTACGTGCGACGTGCATGTGTGCGTGTATGTCTACTTGTACTTGTCCCGGCTAATGCCGATCTTATAGTGCCAGCCTACTGAGATACCATGCCGCAGTTTAACATAATACCCCACTCAGACACAGTATACTGACTCCGAGCCGACTAGTCCTTGTTTTAGCCCCTCATGCCAAGCGCCAGGCAGGGTAACAACAAGTACCATCTTTTAAAGTCTTTTGGTATTACGTGGTCGGGGATCCAAAACCCAACCTTCCGCTCTCCGGGCGGATTCAGGGATTGAGATTAGTGTTTCTTTTGGCATAGCAGAATATGTGTATGTGGGAAATTCTATATACATAGTGTAGAAGAATGTGTGTGGAGAGGGGGCCAATTCTATCTCGTGAAGCAGAATATGTGTATGTGGGAAATTCTATATAGTGTAGAAGAATGTGTGTGGAGAGGGGGCCAATTCTATCTCGTGTAGCAGAATATGTGTATGTGGGAAATTCTATCTAGTGTAGAAGAATGTGTGTAGAGAGGGGGCCAATTCTATCTCGTGTAGCAGAATATGTGTATGTGGGAAATTCTATATAGTGTGGAAGAATGTGTGTAGAGAGGGGGACAATTCTATCTCGTGTAGCAGAATATGTGTATGTGGGAAATTCTATATAGTGTAGAAGAATGTGTGTAGAGAGGGGGACAATTCTATCTCTTGTAGCAGAATATGTGTATGTGGGAAATTCTCTATAGTGTAGAAGAATGTGTGTAGAGAGAGGGACAATTCTATATAGTGTAGCAGAATATGTGTATGTGGGAAATTCTCTATAGTGTAGAAGAATGTGTGTAGAGAGGGGGACAATTCTATATAGTGTAGCAGAATATGTGTATGTGGGGAATTCTATCTCGTGAAGAAGAATGTGTGTGTAGAGGGGGGCAATTCTATCTCGTGTAGCAGAATATGTGTATGTGGGAAATTCTATATAGTGTAGAAGAATGTGTGTAGAGAGGGGGACAATTCAGCAGAATATGTGTATGTGGGAAATTCTATCTAGTGTAGAAGAATGTGTGTATGTGGGAAATTCTATATAGTGTAGAAGAATGTGTGTATGTGGGAAATTCTATATAGTGTGGAAGAATGTGTGTATGTGGGAAATTCTATATAGTGTAGAAGAATGTGTGTAGAGAGGGGGGCAATTCTATCTCGTGTAGCAGAATATGTGTATGTGGGAAATTCTATATAGTGTAGAAGTGTGTGGGATGAATTATATACTGTATACTGTAACAGAATGTGTGTGTGAGGGTTTCTATAATGTTACATAATAAGTGTGAGAGGAATTCTAAATAGTGTAACAGAATATGTGTGAGGAATTCTTAAAAGTGTATCAGAATATGTCTGTTGGGAACTCTGTATAGTGAAGCATGATGTGTGTTAGGAGGTGAGGTGAGGTGAGGTGAGGTGAGGTGAGGTGAAATGGGGTTTAACGTCGCGTCCAAGATTATTGCACTTATATAGCGACGTGCATGCACGTGTATGTGTGTGTGTGGCTGCTTGTACTAGTCCGGACTGATGCCGATTTATAGTGCTAGCTCACTGAGATACCATGCCGCAGTTTAACATGAATACCCCACTCAGACACAGTATACTGACTCCGAGCCGACCAGTCCTTGTTTTAGCCCCTTAATGCCGAGCGCCAGACAGGGTAACAACAAGTACAATCTTTTAACGTCTTTTTGTATGACGCGGCCCGGGATCGAACCCTGGACCTTCCGCTCTCCGGGCGGACGCTCTACCACAAGACCACGGAGGCGGTCATGTGTGTTAGGAATTTAATATGGTGTAGCAGTATATGATTTGTGTATGTTGGGAATTCTATATAGGGTAGCATAACATGTGTGTGAGAAATTCTATATAGTGTGGTATAATAAGTGTGTGAGGAATCCTTTGTACTGAAACAGAATATGTGAAAAGGGAATTCTACATAGTTCAGCAGAATAAGTGTGAGTTGCTACGTGTCGACTTCAAAATTGAATTCTGTAGGTAAAGGAATTAAGTCTTAATCCTACAAACAACAAAGAGCGAGTGAGTGAGTGAGTTAGTTTTAACGCCGCTTTCAAAAGTATTCCAGTTATATCGCGGTGTGTCAGCTTAATGTGGGAGGAAAGCCCGAAGTGATACAGGTCTTAGACGTTTACCAGTTCGGTGAAACCCACGAGCACGGGTATGGTGCTGACAAACCTAAAAACATAATCGGGGCGAACCGGGATTCGAACCCACAATCATAGGTTTCTGGCATGCCCAAGGGACGCAACCCTGCACAGCGAATCGTGGCGCCTTAGACGACTGGGCCACCCGTGCCCAAAAACAATAAAGCAAAGGTACAAATCTACAACTTTGTTATAAAATTAACTAGGTTTATAAATCAATACAAATTACTGCTCAGCAATTATAATAGCAGTTCAACATCCAATGGCAGTGCAAGTACAAAGGCAATATGTAATATGAGTGCAGGGGCAATAATATTCACCCAATAGCAACCGTGGTCAAGTTTTAAAAATGGTCTAAGCTGAATATCCAACAATGATCTTCACACAAAAGCGGGCCTTGGTGTGCATGTAATGTGAAATGAAATGTGAGATGCAAGAGGCACGCTCCTGCTCAGTATAAATCCCTTTTAATAGTTCAACTGTGCTAGAACTTTCCAGTAGATTCTCGATTACACACGACCACATAAAGCATCTAAATAAAGTAACTTCCACACCACTGCTCACATTAGATAGTACTATCTTCCTGACAACTAATTAATGTCAAAACACAATGCTATGAACTGCTGAATCTTTACATTAACAACGTAATACAATTACAACATTACATTACAATAAATTTCACTGCCATATATATAATTATATAGCAGAATATGAGAATGTTGGAATCTATCTAGTGTAGTTGAATATGAGCATGTTGGAATCTATCTAGTGTAGCTGAATATTTACATGTTGGGATCTATCTTGTGTAGTGAGTATGAGCATGTTGGGATCTATCTTGTGTAGTTGAGTATGAACATGTTGGGATCTATCTTGTGTAGTTGCGTATGAACATGTTGGAATTTATACCAGGATCAAGACATGTAGATATTCAGTATTGCCAATTTCTCTGCATAATGTTCTTGTAAATATGCTGTGTTAACATGATTCAAAATGTATATCACTCTCCGAAATTAATGGAGGAAATACAGATCATTCATTCATTGTGTGTGGAGGGAATTGTATCAAATTTAGCTGAACATGTAGCTGAAGAATTCTGTATAGCGTAGCTGAAAATGTTTGGCGGTATTCTGTGAGACAGAATGATAAGCCTGCGTGACAAGGGAAACTTTTACATAATTAAACATTTTGCAAACAGGCATAACATTGACGGTTTTGAAGTTCCCTCTCTTCACCACCTGCTGATATTAACGTTTGCTGCGTTAACAGCAACGCGGTAGCAAATTCTGATGCCTGCGGAAATTTGCTGCCTGGGGTGGAGGGGGGGTATTTCTTTCAAATGTATAAATTGTATAAGGTACTGTAATTTAATAGCCGCATGGGGGTGATAGATTGTTTGAACATGTGTATTTTGAGATCTATACGGTGAAGTTAAGTATGGATCTATATAGTGTAAAATTTTAATGTAACAGGTTTTAGTTGCAGTGAACTGCTTTCCTCAGCAAGAAATCTCATTGTACAGCACAATGTATGATCCATGAGAAAATGATAAAGAAAGTATAACTAAATAGTGTGTTATGTTATTATGCTTTATGTTACTGATTTTGTTATCATACTCGTCAGGTAATAAACGGTATATATGATTTATTCCATGATTTAACGAAAGAGCAAAATATAATGAGTACGTCAGTCAGTACGATATTCTGATTTGTTGTATATAAATTATATATATATATGTCAAGTACTTTTGGTAAGTTCAATAGATTACTTTTGTATTTTATACAACATACATGACATGGGATTTTGTTGATGACGAAATGATGAATTGTGTGTGTGCCAGAAAGTAAGCATCCTTATAAAATGATGTGATAGTGATACTGATAGCAACATTTACATTATACATAAAATGTCAACGCCAGTTATGACTCCATGTGTTCGCGAAAAGGATAAGCATGTTCCGCGCGGCCTGTAGCACCCGCCACTCACACAATATGCATAAAAATGTAAGTGTTCGTTGCCTCACGCCGCACAAGTGTACTCCTGTCATATGACGATCCGGTGGCTTCTCTGAAAATATATCATTTTAATAGAAACAAGCAACTTCATTTAAAGTGAAAATGGGGGTTAAACCTGTGAAAAATCTAGACTTGCGTCGTTTAGGTCTACAGTAGGGACTGGGCGGAAGGCAAAATCATACGGTTCAGGGATTGTGAGACAGGCAGGATGGCGGTGTAAACACTCAAAATTTTCCCGGATAATCCAAACATACCAATCTCTGGTGCCGGTCTTCCAGCCATTACAAACTCAATTTGAAGTGTTGTCTATATTGCTTCGATAGGAGATCACTCAATGGCCACTACAACACAGTATTCAGATGACATCGTTTTGATGTAACAATCTGCTTAAAACAAATCAGAGGAAGTAAGGAAATTTAGAATATCTTTATTTCATGTTGTTAGATCTCAGGCAAAATAATTACGTATTCATTTTAAGAAAAGAGACCCCTCCAACAGAGAAGAACTATTTGACTGTAAGATATTTGACAGAACTACTCATTGGTATTTTGACAGTCATTGGTAAAATGATATTACTCATTTGTACTCGAGTAACAGGCATGTTTGTGACTCGGTGATGGTTCACAGTCGTGTCACAGTCACTGTTTTGATGACGAACTCCAGTAATAACTAAGTCTATTGTGTGGTGGCGACATTTCTCAAAGGTAGGAGCCTTTCCAGCATTCATGTTTGTAAAACTCTCTCAGTTGTATATGCACTGACTTTGGATGTCAAATAGACATAAGCTGATTGTCTTCAGAAATGATCATTTTCGTTTCATTTATGTCCATTGCAAACACGTTAATAATTACGCGTAATTGTCATCTAATGAATTCTTGAAGCATTTAATTATACTGACACAAAACATTTGAACAAAGCTTGTTGTCTTCTCCACTTTATGAAATAAACTGGAATATGCATTTGCCATTTCTCTTCAGTGCTGTCATTATAGAAATGTGGATGTATTCTGGATGTCGTCACGCTCTATGTGGTTCTTGCATGAATGAAGTTCATGGGATCAGAGGGTTCTTTCATTGTAAGGGAAACGCCATTTTGTGCTCCAAGTCCGATTGAAATGCCAACTTTCTTACCATTTTGGGGATGATGATTACGAATGAGTAGCGTTTCCCTCGGATTTGACCTTACATGGTTGTTGACGAAAACTTGAGAGGGATCCCTGGTTGCCTGAGGGTCGAGCGTTGTGCGTCTATCAATACCGCGGTTGACTGGTTTACGTTGATTAATTTGTGGGTTTTGATTTGTAGGTTGTTGTGGTCCGGGGTTGAATGTGGGTCTCTCAAGTTGACGCACTGTTTTGGGGGCTTTGTGATGAGCGGATGATTGCCGTTGATTTGCTATGTGTTGTCGTGAGTGTACATTTGGCTGCTGTTTAGGACTGTTTGGTTCTTTATGATTTTCTATAACATTTGAGCGCATACGTGGTTGTTGGGAAGGAAGATTAGTCTGTCGAGGTTGTTGGTTATTCTGACGGATGGAGTTACCATGAGACTGTCTCTGTTGATTTGCCGCAGAAGTAGACTGTGGGCTCAATTCCTTAGTCCCTTTAAAGGCATCGGTCTGGGGAAGGGTCTGGTGACGGTTTGACCCTTGAGGTGTATTCATCTGAATGTTTGGTCTTTTCTGGTTCAGCTGACGGTGGTTGCTTGAAGCAAACCCATTTCGTTGTGGACTAGTTTCTCCTTTTTGGTCTGACTGACGAGGTGGAGCCGTTATCCGACTTGCAGGAGAAATTAGTTCTTTTCTCTGGCCGCTACGTGATGAACCAAATGAATTTGTTTGCTGGTTAGGGGATTGGCGTCGTCCTGTTGTAGGCTTTGGGGTTGGACGATTTGAACTTGAAAGCGAATTACTTTGTCTAGTTCCAATACGCTGTCTATTTGAATTTTGAGGTGTCGGTTTCGTCTGGACGCCTTGGCGATTTGATTGTCTCTGATTACGTGCAGAGTCTTGGGACATGGTGGTTTGATCAACAGATCGTCTCCTGGTTATTGGAGCTTGGCCACTGCGTGTTCTCTGGGCCTGGTTGATTCTGTTTGGACTCCGAGATGGAGTTGCCTGGCCATTTGTCCTTTGAGGCAACTGCCTCATTCCGCCAGTAGATCGTGGGGGTGGCGTACTCCTCGGCCCGCTGGTGCGTGTAGGCTGTTTAGTAGATGATGACTGACGACCCGGGGGGTTTGAACGAACTTGCTTTTGTTTGTTATTAATCGGATTTGGAGGAGTTTGACCTTGATTCTGATTAACGTTAGGTGTTTGTGCAGGAGCTGCAAAAGGTCCACGACTCAAACGTTGTTGTTCAACAAGATTTCTAATTCTTTCCTGCTCTTGAATGTGTGCCAACTGCCCAGTAGTCAAACGGGGACTACCAAAAGAAACTAACTGATTCCGAAAACGTTTAGGCGTCTGTGTGTTTCTTAACGGTGTCAGCGTAGGAGGAGCCTGCTTCTGTGCCCTGGGTGAGTTTGGTTGGTTCTTCCCTATATAAGGTTTGTTGGACCCAAATAATAAGGGGTTCACTATGAACGCCAAAATTGACCTCATTTGTTTTTGTTTTATGGCAAAGTTTGCCATAATTTTCTGGTAAGGGTTCAGATTCCTTGGAATGTGACCCTTTTCTCTTTCAGATACAGATAGTAAATGCGCTAGTGCGTCTTTTAGTGTTATTGGCGTAGGGACCCCGCTGGCTCTTTTACTAACGTGATTGTGTGTCCTTCGTGTCACAGGCATATAAACGGTCGACAAGCCTTGTGGTTGTGCATATGAATTAAGAACAGTTCCAATGTGCTTGTTTAAGAACTGATCAATGTAATTAGCATTTAAATCATGTTTTGCATTACTAAACACAGTGGCTATCGTGTCCAGTGCTTTAGATATCTCCATTATTTTGGCCAATATATTTTTAAAATCGTAATTGTGAGATACTTTTCTTTCATTGCTGGGCTTCTCAAGGTGAACAGTTTTGTGTTTTGGGGGAACAACGTTAATCAGAGGTTTGTGTTGTTCATATCTCATCCTAGACTCTTCTGCAATTTGCTTAACGGATTTCCCTGTAGCCAATCTGGGAGATCCTTTGGTGCCATTTTCTTTGGTTTTCCTTTGGATTGGAACTTTCCGTTGTGGTCCAGGGATTGCAGGAACCTTATCCAATGCTTGCACATTCGGCATCCTCGCGTGGGGCACTGCAGAATGTGTCAACGTATATTTCCTTTCCTTACGATGAGATTGTGACAAGTGCATCGACTTGAAGCTGTCCACATCAGGTCTGTCCCATTTAGCAATGGCGTTATGACTTCTGTGTTGACCATATCTGCCAAATGCTACAGTATCAATCACCGACGGAGGTGGACTCCCAATCAGTCCTTGGACTACAGGCAGCGGCGACGTGGATACCACACGCAGCTCTGTGATAAGGACGAACAGGACGGTCCACGTCTGGAACAAATAGAACATCAGATTAAGATGGAAGCAACAATCGATGGTGTATCGAGTAATCCGTAGTTCGAGCACACGATGTGCCGATATTTTTAGTTATTATGCCTCAAAGTGAGATTGACCAACCAGAGAGCAGAACTACTGACCCCACATGAGCCCGTATACCGTCAGTAAAAATCCAAGATGGTTGATACTGACCTAATTTGAGATCGTATACCGTCAGTAACAGCCATCTTGGATTTTTCAACAACCACCTCAAATATTTCACATGAAAAGTCTGGTACAGAAATTCGTTAATCGACACTGTTTTGTGTTTTAATATCATTAATTTTGATGTGCAAGTAAGTTCATGTATTTTTGATCACATTCGTGACTTTAATAAGATTATATAAAGTTGAAATTATCAACAAGGTTTGTCCTCTGAGGTTTGAAGAGTAGTCTCCCTTTGACCCTTAACGTCTTAGGTTGTAAGTGTTAAGTTTTGAGTTTTAAGTTTTGACATTACACGTGCGACAAAGATACCAAATAGTGTAAACTTTTCGGCATAATAATTTCGTTATGGCGTCTTTAGTAACCGTATACGTGTAATATTAGGTTAGCAAAGAAATATTGGGTCAGTCGTCAGCCGATATGACACCGTTTTCGGCAACAAAAGACACCATAACGAATTTATCATTTTTAATTTTACTCTATCTGGTATTTTTATCGCACATGTCACTTAAAAATGAAAACTTACAACCGTTGGCGTTAAGAGTCAAAGGGAGACTACACTTCAAAACTTTTTTTAACAATGATTTTTATGTATAAAGTCACGAATGTGATTTATTATAATTAACGTCCTTGCACATCACAAATAATGACATAAAAACACAAAACAGTGTCAAATAACACATTTCTGTAACAAAATGTTTATTTGAAACATGTGAGGTGCGTGTTGGAAAATCCAAGATGGCTCTTACTGACCGTATACGGTCTGATATTAGGTCAGTAACACCAATCTTGTATTTTTAAGGACGGTATACGGGGCCATATGGGGTTAGTAGTTCTGCTCTCTGATTGGTCAATGTAACTTTTAGGCAAAAAATGGAACATATTGTACCTTTGAGGATTATACGGTAACCCTTACTTCCATAGTCTGTACTCCATCAAATAAGATCGCTGTACATTGATAACGGGTTCATCATTGTGTCAAGACCATTTCTGGTGTCCACCGGCGTAATATAGCTGGCACATTGATGAAAGAGGCGTGCAGCCCAATACACCCATTCACTCATCTCAGTATTTAAAAGGTTTATTAAGATGAGTAATTAACCGTAGTTGTAAAGGTCGGTTTCTCGAATGACATGTATTTCAATATATATGTTAATATGTTTATGTTTGATATACTTTTGATGTTTGCTAGTATTTGTTTGAAATTGAACATTTCTCGCCTTCTTGACTTGGTCATATAACATGTTACGTCTTGTACCTGATGAACCTAAAGGAAATTATCCGAGGCCGAAACTGTGACGAAATATGCGAAATAGGCACACAAAAAACTAAAGTAACATGTGTCTCGAATCCAACATGCAGAAATGTTATAACCGACATTGTCACAGAGAAATGTCAGTCATACTGCATTGCATCGTCAATCTCCAGGTAACACGAATAACAATGTGGGTTGTTGAGTTTAATTATTCGTACTTTATAAAAATGCATTCAACAACAGACAAAACGATGAAAATTGGAGATATTTAAATTTTTGCGATTGAGTCTCGTTCGCAAAACTCGCAATAATAAAACAGTCGCAAAAAGTTCCCTGTTTACAGTAATCACAATAACACCCTGAAACAACACCGTAAATAACAATCGAAGCAGCAAACCCTTAACGTGTGCTCATAAATAATTATTTTTATACTGTTCCTTCGGCCACTTCAAGTGCAATGTAATGATTGATAGTGTCAGATCGCCCTATCATTGTCTTTACTGATTGACGATTATTACGCGTTACCAGGAAGCCCACAGCCATATTTCACACACTGGACGTTTACTAGATACTGTCATGTTTGCCGACGTGAAACGTGACTTCCGAGGCAGTTGTCTATTTATTCAGTATACTATTCCGCGAACGTGACAGGCCAGGCATTTTACTTCGCGGATAACCGCTTGGAGACATCAGACCTGTAAATATTCGCCTACATGATGCACAGCAATCTACTTCTTTGGACTAAGCAATTGCTTGACGTAATAAAACAATTGAATGGCAAAAACTACATTATTAAGTGTAAATTAGTTCCTGTTTTTCTATGCGCATCGACATCTTTCGTCTCATCGTTGTATGTTGAAAATAAAAGAAGTGAAACAAGAATAACACCTCAAGCTCACAAATGATCAAAGGGACATCGGCTCATGGGTGTCCCATCCGCCTGAGGTGCCTAGTTCTGTTCCCAGAGTAGCGTCCCTTTGTCGAGCAGTATCCGATTATCGTGGATTTGAACCCCATATTCCCCCTGACTGAGTTTCTGTGTTTGTCAGCACCGTACCTTGCAGGTGGGTTCCCAAAAGAAGTTATCTCAAGCGGGTATGTTAGCTGTTGTCCATGTCCTACCCAATTTTGACCATGTCCTTCCCAATTTCTGATCACCTTGTTGACAAAGGTACAAATGTATCGAACCGTCTCATTGACAGAGGGGGCACGGGTGGCCCAGTCGTCTAAGGCGCCGCGATTCGCACCCTTGGGCACACCAGAAACCTATGATTGTGGGTTCGAATCCCGGTTCGCCCCGATTATGTTTCTAGGTTTGTCAGCACCATACCCGTGCTCGTGGGTTTCACCGAAGTGGTAAACGTCTGAGACCTGCATCACTTCGGGCTTTCCTCCCACATTAAGCTGACACGCCGTGGTATAACTGAAATACTGTTAAAAGCGGCGTTAAACCACACTCACTCACTCACTCAATGACAGAATAGGGAAGTTGAAATCCGTAAGTCAACACTGTTAATTATACAATACAATTCTAAAAATTCCGCTTAAATATCATTTGAATCGAGTTGTTAGAGTGTTGCTAAGGCTACAACTTTTGCTAAGCGCTGGTGTGTAGCAGTGAATATTGCTTTGCCTGTATAAGGTTCACAGCTGTAAACACTGTTACCTTCGTTTTGTAGTGGATGAATACCACCTTTTTTTTGTATGTAAGAAATATGCTCACCTGAGAAAATTGTCTTACCTCAATTGCAGAAATATGTTAGAATAACGTGTACAAGTTTATTTAACTCGTGTGATCTTAATGTTCAACGTTTGAACTGTATTTATATTATATTTATGCAAATTATTTAAAATGAGATCGGTAAATTTTAATGGACGGACCATTTGATATTCTAGGGGAGTCTGGGTTTTATTGAAAAAAATACATTGTCCCCAAATTTTTTTGAAAAAATATTTATGCTTCAGACTGTTAAAACCCCCGATATTAAATGCCACAAAAATTACATTGTTGCAAGGTGTTTTTCTTTTCCAAATAAATCAGGCTCATGGCAATAGCATATCTTATTTAGTAGCTGTTGCGGGGCGGTCGGGTAGCCTAGTGGTTAAAGCGTTCGCTCGTCACGCCGAAGAACCGGGTTCGATTCCCGACATGGGTACAATGTGTGAAGCCGATTTCTGGTGTCCCCTGCCGTGATATTGCTGGAATATTGCTAAAAGCGGCGTAAAAACATATTCACTCACTAGTAGCTGTTGCTGATAAATATCTGTTCTCGGCACTAAATAACACTGTATTAGACAACTCTATGTCATATTAGAATCAGCATGAATCATAACAAATGCATGTGTGACTTGAACGTCATACATACCAGCCAGGATCAGTCAACGTCGTCTGGTGTTTTGACGTTATATGTCAGCTTGAAGGACATTTATTCGAAAAGACCTTGTCACGTCCTCCACATGATTGGTGGTAGTAAAGATTTTCATGTTAAAATTGTTAATTACCCGTCAGAAAACATACATTTCTCCTATTTTATATTGTGTGTCTTGGGATATTTTGTCGGAAAGATATAATAATAGAAACTATTTTAGTTATCACGGCTTTCCAGCCTAATGTCAAGTAAAAAACGACAACATTTTCCATAATTATAAGGAATCCCTCAGATTACTAGGGCGGTCGGGTAGCCTAGTGGTGAAAGCGTTTACTCGTCACGCCTTTGACCCGGGTTCGATTCCCGTCATGGGTACATTGTGTGAAGCCCATTTCTGGGCCCCCCGCCGTGATATTGCTGGAATATTGCTAAAAGCGGCGTAAAACCATACTCACTCAGTCACTCAGTGTGCTCCCAAAATGTCCTTCACGTCTCTCTGGGGAACATCACACCCCAAAAAGTTACACTCCCTCACTCAGATTACTAAGTACAGAGTCCATTGTACGATTCTAATTATAAAATATACATGTGTTTATGAATCACTACCGGTGCCACCCATCACAAACACATTCACAGGCAAGTCAACTGTTCACTGGACAAAAACTCGAGTAAAAAATATGGTACTGCATCGGACATCATTTCGGTCACTGATGCGGCAAATATGGGAATGTCCTCCACGTATCAACCTGAATATTTTTGAAAACTTTACTGAAACTTTGAATGACCGAGTGACGTAAGTCAGAGATGTTAACCAATTTGATTGAACCCAGAGCTCAGGCATGGTGCTTACAAACCCATAATCATAATCAGGAGGAATATTGAATTCGAACCCACGATCACCGGATCATAACACGACTAAGATGTTTAATTTGAAAGACTACCTCACCCATGGCATCTTATATTCAATGAGATAGAGTTTAAATTCGTTCGGTCCGTCTGAATGTACAGTACACGTAAAGCCTTAGAAAAATCGGTATCGCAGACAAACAGAGTTCCTTTACCGAAATGGATCAGTTTGATATGAATGCTGAAAATGTACGACAGTAACGACATTTGGTTACAACAAAATTGTGTCCTCATTAAGATACTAGATATCAAGATACATGTCCTTCACTACGAAATATGCACATAAACTAACATGTGTTAATTTGTCTAAACTAACATGTGTTAATAATGTCCGTGAGAACTGTCATTGTGATAGTGCGTGGCAATACATTGACTTCAAAATGGCCGACACTGTCACGATTTGCATTGAGGCTGAAGGTCCTGTGTTGAGGTGTATTTAATCATTTCTGATTTCCCCTATCACGGATATAAAGAGATGTCCCGAATACGTGTTCCAAAAAAAATGCTGCAGGAAGTTGTCAGCTGTCATTCTAGGCAGGGAGTCGATGGTTTTTGCCTGAATTATCGCGTCTCACTGGGATGAGTCTTAGCGAGGATATGCGATCACGTTCATGGAGTCAAATATTAAACTATTTCCAATACAATCTCCAATATATACAATCAATGGGTTGTATCATGCTGGGTTGTCACGAGAAATGTGGGAGTAGTCCGTCAGTTTTATTTCTAGAATAATCACATGAAAAACGAAAATGAATTTGTTTCATACCTTTGTCTTTCATATGTGTCTTCAAATGTTAATGAACGCGAGTTTCGCAGTAATTTGACCATCCGAAATAATAATGATTTGAAGACCACCTGCTTAATTGTCTTCAAATTATTCCTGTAATTATCATTTAAAATCACATCTGGATGGAACAAATATAATTTAGACTATTCTGTACATAAAGTTTGGTTTTGGTTTGTTGTTTAATGCCGCACTCAGCAATATTCCAGCTATATGACGGCGGTCTGTAAATAATCGAGTCTGGACCAGACAATCCAGAGATTGACAACAGGAACATCGATCCACGCAATTGGGATCGATGACATGCATCAACCAAATCAGCGAACCGAACCACCCGTCCCGTTAGTCGCCTCCTACGACAAGCATAGTCGCCTTTCACGGCCAGCATGGGTTGCTGAAGATCTATTCTACCCCGGATCGTCACGGGCCCTGTACATAAATAAAATTTCCAAAATAAAATTTCCAAATATAACATACAGTGAAATCCAATCTTCCCGACTTCAGAATGTTTATACATCTATACATGTATGTTTAATTGGACATTACCACGCGCCACCCCAAATAAGGATGTCAGTTAGAATTGCTCCCCAGCCACCTATGCTGGTCGTAAGAGGTGACATAATGGATCGGGTGGTCAGGCTCGGTGACTTGGTTGATAGCGTGTCATGGTACCCCGACGGAATGGATCGTTTCTAACACTATTGATCACTGGATTGTCTGGTCTTGACACGATTGTTTCAGGTCGCCGTCATATAGTTGTAATATTGTTCAGTGTGGCGTTTAACAAACAAACAATCAAACAAACAAAACCCAGCACTTCCGATTTGTTTCTCTGGAAAAAAGTACTACGGACGATTGTACTGAAAACGGTAAAGTCCAAATATTGAAACATGTTGCTTGTCCCACTCGTAATACTCCCATGCACATGATGGCAGCCTGTAAATATTCGAGGTTGCATCAGCGAAACCCGCGACCCGCTCAATGTAAATTAGATATAATATTATGTAAACAGCTGGGTGTGTCTGTACATGAGGCAGTAATTGTTCGTGCATGCATACGTCTTGTCTCGCCGCGTCATTCAAGCGTAACAATGAAGTATACAAGTGGAGAAACGCGTCTGCCCTACAAAGAAAAACCCGTTTTGCGGGAAGTCATACATTTAAGGAAAATATTCAACGCGTAAGTATATTGTTTAAAGTATTAAAACCCCTCGTTATGAAAATACCATTGTGACCTACATGAACCATTTACCCATATATAGTCATTGAGCGGCATGAACACATGCCACGTTTTATGCAAAACAACTTCTTTCTTTCTTTTTTGTCAGAAACGACGTTTTTTGCCCCTAACAATAAAGAAGTCGTTATCAAAAGATATCCATGATGTAAATGTACTCACGAAATGGACGACCAGAGCCGCCATCCCTCACTTGTTGCCGATCCAGGTGTGATAATCCTGCATCTGACGCACATACCATAACGTCTATTGTTTTACAACAATCTCGTAGATGAGCGCCATGACCAGTCAAATATGATGAATGACATTACTGGATATTTATAACGTGTAATGTCTGATGATTGAGCTGTATCAACGGAGGCTCGATATGTCAACAGGATCATTCATCGCAATTACTCCCGTGTGTCAGTCATACGTGAGAGTGTGAAGCTTAGATAAGCTTGAAAAATGAAATTGATGGTAGGTGTGTTTAACGTGTAGGTGAGGGAGCCATTCGTCAGGGCTAAGACTTCATGGGGCATGCCGTGCAATTTTTATGCGCAGGTATGAGTTTAACCCTTCTCGTTATAAGACAATGGGGTCAAATCTATTTGTTCTATGACGGTTTGCATTTTAAGGAGATACTTTTGAAAGTTTATGACTTTTTATTGTGATATATGTCTGCTTTCACAAAGTTAACTTAACCCGTTGTCAATCTGAATATCGTGCTCTTCCATGTGCAAGTGAGATGAGATAGAATCAACATGGTGAAAGTTAACATACAAAATAAACGACATTGCCAGGGGGTATCAAATGTTCTAGTCTGTCGTACAAAGGGGAAGTGAAATTGGATTTAAGGGTGTGTTAAATGTTATTGTACTTATACAGCGATGTGTGTGTGTGTTAGTGAGTGTTTTTGTGTGCGTGCGTGCATGCGTGCATGCGTGCGTGCGTGCGTTTTAGTATACTGACTCCGAGCCGACCAGTCCTTCTCCTTTACTCCTTCCGTCTACTCCTTTCACGCCGAGTGCCAGGCAGGGTAACAATAATTACCATCTTTTAACGTCTTTTTGGTATGAAGGCATCGAATCACAGACCTGCCCTCCGGAGAGACGATCTATCCTCTTGACGACGAAGGCGGTCCCCGTCACATGAAAAGTGAGAGAATTTAAAAATGGAAATTGACAAATTAAAGATGATGGGTCCCACAGTCACAGATGGTCCAAATGTCTACAATGAGGTGACCCCTCTTTTCGTGGCCTTCAATGAATTTAGAATATTCACGTCCATTACTTCGAAACGCTCGTTAATACGGACATTTGTTAATCTTGGCGTTTTTACTGGGAACCGTGTCGTCCGGATTAATAAGAACTACATTTCGATAACGCCTAATGTCTCGCCTGCAGGTATGCTTACAACGATACATCACCATTACTAGGTCAATGGCTCAGTGTGCTCCCTGGGGCGGTCGGGTAGCCTAGTGGTTAAAGCGTTCGCTCGTCACGCCGAAGACCCGGGTTCAATTCCCTATATGTGTGAAGCCGATTTCTGGTGTCCCCCGCCGTGGTATTGCTTAAAGCGGCGTAAAACCAAACTCACTCACTTACTCAGTATGCTCCCCAAATGTCATTCACATCTCTCTGGGGAATATCACACCCCAAATGGTTAAAAGTCACATTTCCATCTCATTCTACCGGGTATCCATTCACTACTGGGTGAACAGAGGCTTATGTCGAACAATGTCACTTGCCTAAGGAGATACCACATGTAACCTGTGTTAACACTTTAACCGCTGAGATAAATATGAATATGAATACCACTAAATGCATTATTGTTTCAACTGACTGTATTTCATGGGTACAACCTGTAGCAGTATGTTACTATACTTTTAGTATACATCTACATATACATATGAAATAGTCTACATTATAACGTGACCCGTGAAGACCCGGGGTAGAATAGGTCTTCAGCAACCCATGCTTGTCGTAAAAGGCGACTATCGGGTGGTCAGGCTCGCTGACTTGGTTGATGCATGTCATCGTATCTCAAGTGCGTGGATCGATGCTCGTGATGTCAATCATTGGATTGTCTGGTCCAGACTCGATTATTTACAGACCGCCTTCATATAGCTGGAATATTGCTGAGTGCGGCGTTAAACAACCAACCAAACAAACAAACAAACATTATGACGTCTTTAAGTGGCATTTAGAAGTTGGTATGATAGAGATAGTTCTATATATGGATGCGATGACAAGGGATGCAGTTCTATGGATATACAACTTCTTTATTACAATGAATGTGACGTTTCGGTGTGGACAGTTGTGACTTGCTTGGTAACGGTTGGTTGGTTTGTTTGTTGTTTAACGCCGCACTCAGCAATATTCCAGCTATATGACGGCGGTCTGTAAATAATCGAATCTGGACCAGACAATCCGGTGATTGACATAATGAGCATCGATCCACGCAATTGGGATCGATGAAATGCATCAAGCAAATCAGCAAGCCCGACCACCCGATCCTGTTAGTCGCCTTTTACGACAAGCATAGTCACCTTTTACAGCAAGCATGGGTTGCTGAAGACCTATTCTACCACGGAATCTAGTAACGGTGTTAGTAGCTTCACCGAAACGTCTGATTAGGAATATAACTCATGTAACACACGTATATCTTTATAGTCCACTGATTCACGATCATGCATGTTTAGGTTGACGGATGTACTTCTTAACACTTTGGCCGCCTCCGTGGTCTTGTGGTAGAGCGTCCACCCGAAGAGCGGAAGGTCCGGGGGTTCGATCCCTGGCCGCGTCATACCAAAATATGTTAATATGGTACTTGTTGTTACCCTCTCTGCCGCTCGGCATAAAGGGGCTAAAACAAGAACTGGTCGGCTCGGAGTCAGTATACTGTGTCTGAGTGGGGTATTCATGTTAAACTGCGGCATGGTATCTCAGTGAGCTAGCACTATAAATCGGCATCAGTCCGGACTAGTACAAGCAGCCACGCAAACACGTGCATGCACGTCGCTATAGAAGTGCAATAATCTTGGACGCGACGTTAAATCCAATTTCACCTCACCTCTTAACACTTTGGGTCGATGGTCGACTTGAAACCACTTAAAAAAAAGAATAAGACCCTCTTAATGTGTTTGATAAAATAGGGTGGTAAAGATGAGAATAAAATACAATTTTAAATTCCTTATTTTTTTGAATTTTTGTGAAATGCATAAGGTATAGTGAAATATGTGTAGCATTTCCATGGGAACACAGCCAAAGACACGACTTCGTGTATTGGTGAAGCTGTGAACAGTATTCATCGTGGCGTCATCTCGCGAACACTTAATGTCATGGATGATGGGTAACTTGGCTTTGTCAAACAGGGAAAGAAACTGACTTTATTCATGAGTGCGAATACTCAGTAATACTCGGCGGTAATAATAAATATGTTTTTCCGCATTCTTGATTTTAGGCTCTCCAGGGCCCACGTGCACAAAGCGATCTTAGTGCTAAGATTATCGTAACTCCCATTCTTTAACATAGGCTTACGATAGTCTCAACGCTAAGATCGCTTTGTGCAAGTGGACCTAAGTAATGAAAACTAAAACGCCAGACTTTGAAGATGTGCAGATAAAACTGAAACTATACATCGTGACCACGGCAAAACAATAATCTTGACTATTGTGAAAACCCTTAAAACCTCATAAAAACAAATACCACGAAAATGATATAATAGGTTTTACCTGTGCAAACTGCACACTAATAACTCTTGTCATATCACGTGATCATATATGTGATATGTGTCATGGCAGATCATTTGTCAGCGTATTTGCAGTCAAATAACGTTTTTACGTGTAGGTTCTTTGAATCAGGCCATGCACGCGTACTTTGATGACGAATGAGTGTGAGTGGGTTGGGTTTAAGCTGCTTTTAACAGTATTCTAGTTATATCACGGCGTGTCAGTTTAATGTTGGAGGAAAGACAGAAGTGATGCAGGTCTCAGACGTTTACCACTTCGGTGAAACCCACGAGCACGGGTATGGTGCTGACAAACCTAGAAACATAATCGGGGCGAACCGGGATATGAACCCACTATCATAGGTTTCTGGCGTGCCCAAGGGACGCAACTCTGCACAGCGAATCGCGGCGCCTTAGACGACTGGGCCACCGCGCCCCCCTGATGACGAATGAAAATCACATTACCGTTCCTGAGTTGCCATCGACCTCATAATGTAATGTAGTGACCTACAACTCGTGCGTTAGCTGTTTGCCTCTGGCAAATTATTTTTGGAGCTAATTTGGGTTGATCTAGTTTGAGAGTATATCTTATTTGAAAGCGATTATTGTGGGTATTATAAATTTAACTTAGGTCACTACACATATACGTGGTCGTGATTAGCTGGGGTTAAGAGTGAGTGAGTATGGTTTTTCGCCGTTTTTAGCTATATTCCAGCGGGGGGACACCAGAAATTGGCTTCCGTATTGTACCCATGTGGGGAACCGAACCCGGGTCTTCGGCATGACGAGCGAACGCTTTAACCACTAGGCTACCCGACCGCCCCTATGGTGTTAAGAAAAATTATAGCATCTGATTCGATCAGTTGTAGGCTTAAGATTTATTTAATTGTTATTTAAATTTTTAGATATGTGGTTATCCCAAGATAGTTCATATACATATTATACCACATTGCACTCATTTGTTTGCATCCAATTAACATGTTGAGCTTTAATATTCACGAGGAGCACTATAAATAATTTTGGAGTCATACGGCTACGACAATCGTTCAAATGTTTAAACAGATGCTCACCGTGATTTTTATGTTCCATGTTCTCGTAGTTCTATCAATCAGCTAATGGCAAATTTGCCCGGGGTGTCACATTCACAATTTGAAAAATAAAGTACAATGATGAATCTGGTAATTATGGAATACTGTAAGGGACATTTTCGCGATCTCGCATTCTCGCGTAATAGAAACCAATACAATAGGCTGTCGATGTCGGTAATGAGTGTGTTGTGTGTGACAGTGTATCACTTATATCAGTTCCATTTGTGTGTTGCTTAACGCCAAACTCAGCACTCTCACAGCTATAAGACAGCGGTCCACCCATTCAAGGTGTACATGTGTTTTTTATTAAAAGCCCGATGTGAAGCAGGGCTTAGACTTTTACGCTACGGCGAAACTAATGAGAAGAACATGGTGCCAACAAATCTAGAAACATAAAATCAGGGCTAATTTTGGATTTGCACCCACGACCATAGGTCTCTTGTTCGCCTAAGGCCAAAGGGACGCAACTCTGCACAGCGAATTGCGGCGCCTTGGACGACTGGGTCGCCCGTTTCCCATCACGTATATTCGCAAACGACCATGGCACCGGAGTTAACCATTTTGGAAAACACCAATTAATACGGATAAAAATGTGACATGCCACTGACCACTATCGGGGAGAATCCTAGATTCGGACCTGATACTGGTAAGGGAGGTAGATCTGCACTCCAAACCACCCGTGTGAATTAAATGTACACTGAGGATAACTCTAAGATGGTTTGTCAACCACATACACTTTTTTATATGCATCCCTCGATTTTTAATTAACAGTGCACCCGTGAAGATCCGGGGTAGAATAGGTCTTCAGCAACCCATGCTTGCCGTAAAAGGCGACTATGCTTGTCGTAAAAGGCGACTAACGGGATCGGGTGGTCAGGCTCGCCGACTTGGTTGATGCATGTCATCGATCCCAATTTACATCTTGTAGCAGTATATTACTATACTATTAGTTACATCTACATATACATATGAAATTGTCTACATTATAACGTGACCCGTGAAGACCCGGGGTAGAATAGGTCTTCAGCAACCCATGCTTGTCGGAAGAGGCCACTATCGGGTGGTCAGGCTCGCTGACTTAGTTGATGCATGTCATCGATCCCAATTGCGTGGATCGATGCTCATGACATTAATCACTGGATTGCCTGATCCAGACTCGATTATTTACAGACCGCCGTCATATAGCTGGGATATTGCTGAGTGCGGCAATAAACAACAAACCAACAAACCTAATTAACACTCGCTTCAAAAACAAACACAAAACACAAAGCAAACACTTCTTTTTCAGACTGTTTTTTATTTCTGTTGTATAAACAAATTGGTGTAAAATAGAATTGTGTCCATAACGAAGGAGTATGCGTATATACAACAACATGGGATGTTGAAAATATAAATTTCTCTATGTGGAAACATGTACAGCGATAATGACTCGATGTGCAAGTGAACGGGTCATAAACACGATATAAACATGCTGATTGCTTGTCACATATCACGCTTAATTAACACCGTTTGTCGACACAAAGTGAAATATACATGTGATGGACAGTTCGGCCACTCAAGCATAGCATGCTGCAACAAATCATTTTGTACAATATGTTATTATGTTCTTTATAGAGCGTTATTGCACCATTTGTATATGAATTTCTATATAATATTTGTTAAACTTTTCAATTTATTAATCCACTGATTTGAGCACCCGTAGTGGGATTATATGATACAGTACCTAGGCTATGCAGGAATGTCAAACTTAACTGTTACAAATATCTAAATATTCCATTTCCACATATGAAACATTATATGAACATGATCGAATTGTTTGAAAATATAAATTTTATTTGAAAAAGTGATTGATAAAGAAAATATAAAAACGTCCCGTAATTTGTTATTTACAATGATAAGAACTCGAGCATCTTCATCAATATCTTCCAAGCAAATATAACTCGAATACCGTGTGATACTATCAGCAACACGGCACCTCCCTTAATCTGTGTAGTAACAGTTTAGATCATCAGCACGTTAATCATCCTTGTTTTGTGTAGACTATCTCAACATAAACACATATATGTACGATGTCAAATACACTGCGGGCATAATGACTAGAATACACTCTCACAGTTAGGAAAAATACGTACACAGAAGCACGGAGCGTTGATCACAGATCCCACTTTAAACAAAGTGTGATCGAATAGGCTTGGTAATGTTTTTTTCAACGAAATCAGATAATGGTTACGGAGACAACGATTGGTTATAGTCAACATATATATATCGATTTCTATCCTTTGTTAGCCCTCACATTTGACAACGCGAGATATTCTAAAATTACTATTGCCGTTCACATTAGTTTCACTGGTTGAATGCGCACGTCTCCATGTTTTTTTATTATGCCCTGTCGAGAAAGATTGGGGTAACCTTGTGTTGGTTTGAGATCAGCATTTATTTTAATGTTTATGAGCTTGAACAAGTGATTAATTAATATTTTTTGTATAAATAATAATAACGAACTGTATCCTTTGGACACTAACACAGTGTGCAAAAAATAAATTCGTACTAGGCATTTGGTTTCTTTTTTTCAGTAAGACAGAAAATTGGTTATTTGATTTAGGAAATATATATTACAAAATAATACTTATTAATTAAATGAACACTTTCAGGAATATCTGTCGGATGAAAACAACATATAAATGTATTATAAGGGTGAAGATGAAGGCCAAGGACTACTTTAAAAGCCCTACAGATTTATTGCAATACTATATAATTGAAATTTGTTTAGATTCTTCTGAATATGAAATAGTCGGGCCTCTACAACCATGCAGTTGGGTAGCGACATAGAAATGTATATTAACACGTGGGTATTGTTACAGTGACATTTGACAAGAAGACCTCGTGCTTAACAATCTGTCCTTCAGATCGATACGTTAGGTGTCTGAGTGATTAGAGATGGAGTTTTGCCGCTTAATGATGGTGTAGGACACACCAAGAATGGGCTTTAGAGATTGCATATATGCTTGGAATGAACACGGACATGTTAGGTTTGTAACGATCATAGTCGTCTTGAACAGCACCTTTTGGGCCGCACGAGACTGTTCTCTTTAAGAGTGAATGAGTGAGTTGGGGTAAACGCCGCTTTTAACATCATTCCAGGTATATCAAGGCGTATCAGCTTAATGTTGGAATGAAGCTCAAAGTGATGCACATCTCACACGTTTACCCCTTCAGAGAAACCCAAGAGCACGGATATGGTGCTGATAAACCTAGAAACACAATCGAACCGAGATTCGAAGCACAATCATAGGTTTCTGGCGTGCCCAAGGGGCGCAACTCTGCACAGCGAATTGCGCCGGCTTCGACGACTGTCCCTCCCGTGCCACATTTCCATTTAAATAATTATGCCGAAATTATGTACGAATCGTACATTGGACTCGGCTTTTAGGAGAGATTTCATATCATTATAAAAAGGGTTTTGTCGCTTTTATTATTAAGTGATTCCAGTGAATGTTAGTTCACATTTAAATATCATACTGTGGAAACAAACGTGAGAGATGTCGGTTTAATTTATAGCTAAAGTTTTGCTTGTTTCACGAACTAACACAAAAACAAATAATGTTGCATTAGCAATTATGGAAACACAGAGTAGCCTTGTCACAACGCATACGTTCAACAAACACAGTGTGCTTTGAGCTAAAGTCTTATTCAAATTGGAAACGCTGTCGTTTAAATTCACCACAGACCCTTCACAAACACAAATAACAAGAGCAATGTGAGAAACGATATCCCAATGTCATTGGTACATTTCACAAGTGTCAAATCATAATAATGATATAATAAGTATGGTAAAGGTGTGTCGCCAAACTCCCAAAAATCAGCATTTGCTTTACACCAAGTGTGTGAGTGAGTGAGTTGGTTTTAAATCAGCTTTGAAAATTATTCCAGTTAACGGCGTGTCAGCTTGGTGTGGGAAGAAAGTCCCAAGTGATGCAGGTCTTTGACGATTATCATATTGAGACCCCAAGCCTGGATGTGATGCTGACAAACCTGAAAGCCTAATCATGGCAAACCGGGGTTCGAATCCACGATCATTGCCAAGGGACATAACTCGACCACGATCATTTGCCAAGGGACATTACTCGACCACTTGCGACGTCTTAGACGACACACTCCCACAAACCCCGCCCCTCCCTATCCCCCTTTGAAGAAAAGTTTAAAGATAAAAGACGCCGATTAAAGACTTTAACCACTTCGGTGTAGCCTGCATACATCGGGGTGAATGCTAAATTGGAAACAAAAATCATCGGATCCAGGTACGGCTAGGGGACGCAATGCACCATAGACAACTGGGCCATGAGAGCCAGCCCTGACATTTGATTCCCAAAGATCAGGTATGTAACAGAACAAATGGACATCACAAAACGTATAACATTATAACAAACTAGCATGTCTATAAGTCGACCAGAACTGGTGCCTGAATGATACTACAGGACATTGATTGTAATACACGTTATGACAATTATTGGAGGACAAACATGGAGTCATAAAAAGGTTCACACAGCTATAGCCGTTTAACAGAGCAAGAAACCTGTATGTTTTATCTCAGCATATAAAACACCAGTCGTAACAAATTTATGTCGTCCTCAAATTCCCTGAAACCTGACATTCCTTGATGTGAACGTGAAGACTCAAGTCCCGCAGGCTAACAAAACGTCAAAGTCATAGATTTGCACTGAGAAAGTCGTGTGCCGGTAAAAGAAAACAGAAATATCTGACAGACGCACTCATTTAAGAAACATATGCTTGACGTTTTGGTGACTGTTTGTGTTTAGATATCATATTTATATATAACACCACATTCATAACACTATTAAACATTTTATCAGAATATGAAACAAACAAACATACACACACAGTGTCTTTAAAACAAATAACAGGTAGTTAACTATGATTTATTATCCTTCATGGCCTAAACGAGAATAAATCAGCAGTATAATGATGTATAACATTCACCTTCAGCACACCTCCACTATATTATGATAAATACCATGGACCCGCTAGCTGCCTTTGTTTTTTTTTGGAAATGACGTCAACATCAAATTTTCCCTTACAAAACAATTCTCTCGCACATGATATTAATTTGAAAACTGGACAGCTATTTTTCGCGTCGTTTCCTTTTAAACGTCACGACGAATCTGTGTTTGGGAACGTGTCCGTGGTATTTATTATACTATCATGACGAAATAATACACCTGATAACCTGATACTCGTAATTTCATTCAGATCTCTCAAAGTGAGTGAGTGAGTGAGTGAGTGAGTTGGGTTTAACGCCGCTTTTAACAGTATTCCAGTTATATCACGGCGTGTCAGCTTAATGTGGGAGGAAAGCCCGAAGTGATGCTGGCCTCGAGCAGACTAGCCTTTGTTTTAGCATGTTTAGGCATGCACTAGGCAGGGTAAGAGTGAGTGAGTGAGTTGGGTTTAACTCCGCTTTTAACAGTATTCCAGTTATATCACGGCGTGTCAGCTTAATGTGGGAGGAAAGCCCGAAGTGATGCTGGCCTCAGACGTTTACCACTTCGGTGAAACCCACGAGCACGGGTATGGTGCTGACAAACCTAGAAACATAATTGGGACGAACCGGGATTCGAACCCACAATCATTGGTTTCTGGCGTGCCCAAGGGACGCAACTCTGCACAGCGAATCGCGGCGCCTTAGACGACTGGGCAACCCGTGCCCCCAGATCTCTCAAAGATGAATAATTGTGAAGAGTTGACGTCCTTATGAACGTGACACGGCTTTCATCTTTGTAAATAGACATTCACAGGTGGAGTTGGGATGAACAGGCACAATCATCAATACTGAACGGTTGATCCGCCAGTACGTTGTGATTGACTAGAAACACACGTCATATAAACATACCAGCTGAAATAACACATAATTATATTCATTCGTTCTAATTTTGGCCATAGTAACTACACGTAGTGATCCTTTCCAGGGCATAGAGGTGGTGGGAGAGGTGACTTTGCATTGGTTGATCCAAAAATATAGGTTTCAAGGAGTCATAACGTATATGCAGGGAGTCAGAATATATATCAAAAACCAAAATGTAGATTGCAGGCTGTAAAATGTAGGGAGGCTGTAAAATTCGGGGAGATAATTGTAGATTTCAGGGCGTACGATGTAGATTTCATCAAACAATTATATGTAGATTTCAGGGCGAACGATGTCGATTTCATAGAGTAAAATGTAGATTTCATGGCGTACGATGTACATTTCATGGAGTACAATGTAGAATTCAGGGACGCAAAATGTTGATTTCAGTGAGTAACATGTAGATCATAGATTGCAAAATGTAGATTTGTGGGAGTCATTCAGAACTTACAGAACAACACTGTCCGCGTTAACTGAAGTAAAACAAACGTTCATCTCGCCGCCACCAAAAAGACTTTGAGTGCTAAACAACCACACTTTGTACAGAGGCTATACGACAGCCCATCCTTAACAACTGACCTGTCAACAACAGAAGAAAGAATCATCATGTGACTTCTGACGGTTTGGAGTATAATAAAATATATATACGTCTGTTGAATAAGAAGATACCAAAGAAGAATTCAAAGCAATTGATATCTAAGATAGTTAAGTTATACCATGACCTCGAAAGAAGTAGTAGTAGAAGATGTGTCTGTAGTGGTAACAGTAGTAGCAGTGGTAGTGGTAGTGGTAGTGGTAGTGGTAGTGGTAGTATATCATCACCAAAGGATTAGTACTTATACATCCTGAAACATCAAACGCATACTGGAAACGAATAATTCTATAATATAGCCATTTGTACAATGTATTTAAATAACTGAAATAAAAGAATACTGGTGTAAGGTTTCAGGCGTCATCAGATAATTACTATTGTGAACAGAGACGGATTATGTCATTATAATAATGCCAGAAATATTTTTTCTTTGATGATTAATTGTGGAAAATTATTAGACACACATTGTTTTCTTGGAGACATTTGTCAAGATTTCTTCCCCACAAGATCGTAGATACGTGTTCAATTCAATCCATTGTAGAAACGGTACATGTTACCATCAAATCTTGCTTTAAAGTCATTGTTTTGTTGTTATTTTCATACAATGTCTTTTTGACAGATACTGATCGTTGGATGGGCACAGGACCAACGTGAAATAATGTCTTTGCCCTCAGAGTCAAACATAGAAGTATCCACACATCCTTCGCCTTAAAACAGAACACACAAAAACTCGTTATTCCGGACGATACCTTTCCCTCTGAAATCGTCCAGGTGAACACATTGTGGGATTGACTAATCCTTGGTACCAAGTAACATTTAAGTGTATATATTTAGATGCTTGTCCGTTTTGGCGGGTTTCTGGACAAAGGGAGTCTGGAGTAACTGATTTGGATTTCCATAGTTTCAAGTTAGCCACCTCTGTTCCTGGGCCCACTTGCACAAAGCGATCTTAGTGCTACGACTATTGCAAGCCTATGTTAAAGTGTGGGAGTTACGATCATCTCAACGCTAAGATGGCTTTGTGCAAGCGGCCCTGGTCATCGTAAACGAACGGTGTTATCCTGATTCCACTGATATGCCCATTTGACGCCGGAACATCTTGAGTTGTAGACGATGGTACCAGAATTCACATCCATACGACAAACACTCACATCAGCAACACATCATCACACACCTGCAGCCGGTCTCGGGTCGTGGACATTTCTCTGTCTGAACGAGCAGATGCAATGCCATGTTGAAAGGTCTTTCCGTTCTCCATGCCAACTCATTGCCATGTCTCAGAGAAGCCATCAGTCGTACAATGGACTCTGCTTTATGCAGAAATTTCTATTGGATATAGAAAGGGTTTTGTCGCTATATTTCTATATTTCTCTGTGCCTTACCTCAGAGAGGCACATCTCATACATGTTGTTTTTATTTGGTGCTTAACCTCAGAGAAGCACATCTCTACCCCTCAAATCATTGCCTTGCTCCTGAGAACCAATTTCATACCCAATCAATATCTTGCTCCACAGATGTTCATTCCACACGCTTCAAATATTTGCATTGCTTTCGCTTGTCACATCTGTATCCGTGTAAGAACAGTGACGGTTCTGAACCAGAATCACAACGTGTGAGGTCAGCATATGAAACGAAGAAGATGAGAATGAACCGTTTCTCATAATAAATCCCCAAATTGCACTTCCCTTACTGTACCAGCTTCTTTCACAGACACTTTTAACGTATGCCATGTACACGCTTTTACATTGTCCTGGTCTGTGAAAAAAAAGCATACGTTTCTGACAGGACTCTGTACATTTCAAACGACATCGTGTACATTTCAAATTTGGGTTGTACATGTCCTTTCCGGGTATCACCAGTTGCCTGGTACTCCAATGTCTATATGCATGACGTGACGTCGATGTACTCTCACAGCAGGTCGGTTTCAGGCTCGGAATAGTCCAAGGGCGTGTGGGCACAGGCAAAGGGACTTGAAGGAGGGCTGAATTCGCTGGCCCGCAGGATGGTGATACCAGAATCCGAGCTGGACGAGTCATGTCGATCCTTCTCCTGCACAGAGAGATAAGCATGCTGCACTTCAATATTGCATCATGTCTTCGCATTATTATAACAGAAGTTTCTAAACATGTTATAAACATGAGCGATAATCCAAAACTGTGTTATTACAATGAGAGAAAAAAAATTCAAATTCTTTTTATTACAATGGAAGAGATATATTTGAATACCATGTTATACCACTTGGATATATGCATTATAAAAATTTGTTAATACGATGGGAGAATAAAAAATTTAAATATTGTTATTAGAATTGGATAGATATATTTCAAAACCGTGTTGTGACAATGGTAGAGGGATTCTATTTAAACATTCTGTGATTTGAATGGGAGATATAAATTTCAAAATATTCTTGATGCAATGGGAGAGTGATAGTTGAAAACCTATTTCCTACAAATGAAGAAAATATTTACGGTGGGTGAGTATGGTTTTACGCCGCTCTTAGCAATATTTCAGCAATATCACGGCGGGGGACGCCAGAAATGGGCTTCACACATCCAACCCGGGTCCTCGGCATGAGAGCGAACGCTTTGACCACTTGCCTACCCCACCGCCCCTTATTGTTAATAAATTAAATCACATTTCAAAATATTGTTGATACAATGAGAGAAACCTATTCTAATGTGTTGTTATTATAACTGAAGAAACACATCCGTTTGGAAGAAATTTCTTCATTTCGGCTTGTACAGTATCAAGTCTCGACCAGGCAAACCAGTGGTTGATATCATGAGCAATATCCCACTTTGTCGTGGTACGATGATACGCAATAGGCCTGACCACCTGACGTAAGACGTCAAAACCTAACACACGAGTCGAATTTTGAATCATGTAAGTTTTTTCTGTCAGTCATCCGCTATTTCACAAATAGACCACACCGTCATTATTTTTTTCCTTTTAAGATAAAGGATCCGCCGACTTCAAAAATGAAAGAATTATGTCCCTTGTATCGATACACGAACATTACTGAATTATCTCCCTTAGTCTTCTGAGAAAAGTGAACGTTTTGCACACTTATAGCTTTCGAAAAACAACCTATGTTGACGCTTATATCATACTTCCAACTCCCCCACCATCATATATCGAAGAAATATCAATGATCAAGCGAGTAAAAAAACTAATGGCCTCAGAGGAGGTTACAGACGGCCTCCGTGGTCGGAAAAGCGGAAGGTTGGTTGTTCGATTCTCGGTCGCGTCATACCAAAAGGCCTCAAAAGATGGTACTTGTTGTTACATTGCAATATTAAGAGTAACACAAGGACTGGTCGAGTCGGAATCAGTATACTGTGTCTGTGTTTAACTGCGGCATGGTACCTCAGTGGGCTAGCTCCCACACAAACACACACACGCGCGTCGCTATGTAAGTGCAATAATCTTGAACGCGATGTTTGGACGTTCACTAGAAAGCACTATTGTTGTTTAACTGGATTCATTGAGTGAGTGAGTGAGTGAGTTGGGTTTCACGCCGCTTATAACAGTATTCCAGTTATATCACAGCGTGTCAGTTTAATGTGGGAGGAAAGTCCGAAGTGATGCAGGTCTCAGACGTGGCTTTATGAAACAAGATATATTATATTATGAATGAATTCTCTCAATACAATGTTCGGAATACAAGGAATCCAAGATCTGCGTACGTACCATCTTAATAATAATAATAATAATAATATTAATAATAATAATAATAATAATAATAATAATAATAATAATGATGATGATGATGATGATGATAATGATAATGATGATGATGATGATAATAATAATAATAATAATAATAATAATAATAATAATAATACAGTAAATATCATATACTATAAATATATATCGTGAAGGCCAATGCTCACTTTCTCCGACGGTAAACTCGAATGTTGTCGCTTTGTTCGTATAAGCGGACTTCGTTTTGGTATGCCAGGTGAACGTTCGCCATTGCTGACGATGGGAGCCAGTAGTGTGGATTGTTGAGGTGCTGTCGTAGTGGTCACTACGCGGTCAGTGGCCATCTGCCCAGCCAGGCAGGTCAAGGGGATCTTATAGATGTTCATGGCGGGGCCGGTTTTTGCTGCAAATGTTTGACATACTTTATGCATAAAGTAGAGCACACGTTGGTAATAAATACACTTTTATGTCATCCAGTTGTCTCACAAAGCTTTTATCGAGTGTCACGAGTGACGTAGAATTAAGGAAAAAAACACACGTGAATAAACAGGTGTGGGATACGTTTTTCATATGATTAATTATTTTTATGACAAAGCAGATATTTTAGGAGTGGCAAAATTGTTTCAATGCAAAGTTTAAACATTACAAATGCAGAGACATGTTTTCATTGTACTACATTATCTATTGTAAAACATGTTCAGACTCAAAATAAACTTAACAAAATAAATTAGGGATCAAGAATACTTTTGGGGAATATTTTTTTTGTCATCGTGAAGGCAGAGTTTGTATGTACAGTATAAGCATATTTCATTTACTTTCTACTCTGTCGTGAGTCTTGATTAGACCATGGATGTAGAAGGCTTACAGGAAAGAGAAGACTTACAAGAAGGAGACGGCTTACAAGAAGGAGACGGCTTACAAGAAGGAGACGGCTTACAAGAAGAAGACTTACAAGAAGGAGAAGACTTACAAGAAGGAGAAGGCTTACAAGAAGGAGACGGCTTACAAGAAGAAGGCTTACAGGAAAGAGAAGACTTACAAGAAGGAGACGGCTTACAAGAAGGAGACGGCTTACAAGAAGGAGAAGACTTACAAGAAGGAGACGGCTTACAAGAAGGAGACGGCTTACAAGAAGAAGGCTTACAGGAAAGAGAAGACTTACAAGAAGGAGACGGCTTACAAGAAGGAGACGGCTTACAAGAAGGAGAAGACTTACAAGAAGGAGACGGCTTACAAGAAGAGGGCTAACAGGAAAGAGAAGACTTACAAGAAGGAGACGGCTTACAAGAAGGAGACGGCTTACAAGAAGAAGGCTTACAGGAAAGAGAAGACTTACAAGAAGGAGACGGCTTACAAGAAGGATACGGCTTACAAGAAGAAGACTTACAAGAAGGAGAAGACTTACAAGAAGGAGAAGGCTTACAAGAAGGAGACAGCTTACAAGAAGAAGGCTTACAGGAAAGAGAAGACTTACAAGAAGGAGAAGGCTTACAAGAAGGAGACGGCTTACAAGAAGGAGACGGCTAACAAGAAGATGTAGGCTTGCAAGAAGAAGGCTTACAGGAAGGAGAAGCCTTATAAGAAGAAGACTTACAAGTGGGAGAAAGCTTACAATGAGAAGGTTTACAAGACGGTGAAGACTTACAAGAAGACGGCTTAAAAGAAAGAGCAGACTTACAAGTAAGCGCAGACTTACAAGAAGGAGAAAACTTTCAAGAAGATGAAGACTTACAAGAAGGAGAATACTTACAAGAAGGAGAAGGTGGAGGGGAGAAGGAGTTCTCCTTCTCTCTACTCTTCTCTGTCGGCGTATTCGTCATGGCTGCCGAGGAGGCGAAATAGATATCACACTGAAACAGTAGAAGAATGCTTTAGTATGCAGGGCAATACACCAGAATATCCGTTGTAATTCCTCTTTGGTATTCGTGGCCAAACACTACAATACTCGTGGCAATGCGCTAATGTGTGGGTGATTTGGGTTTAACACCTCTTTGAACAGCATTTTAGTGTCAGCTTAAGTTTGGTTTAAGATGCAGGTCTCAGACGTTCCCCACATTAAGAAACGTCATGATATCAGAGATACTGTGTAAACGGGTCTACACACACAATAATTTACAGACCCGTGAAGATCCGGGTGAGAGTTGGTCTCACCCATGCTTGTTGTAAGAGGCGACTAACGGAAGCGCTCGCTGGTTCGGTTGACTCAAGTTATCGTATCCCAATAGCATAGATCGAGGCTCAGAATGTAAATCATGGATTGTCTGATCCTGACTCGATGATATACAGACTGCCATCATATAGCTTGAATATTGCTGAGTGCCGTGTTAAAAAACACACACACAAATAAACAAATTTACATACCTTTGATGTTATGAGCGTGAGGTCCGGCATAGTCATGGTATGAACGAGATTTCCGTTGATGATGAGGCGAATTTCAATTGTGTCAGGAGTGAAGGCCATTATATACGGAAAGGCACAAACTGGAAATAATAATTGATCACACAATCATTACACTGAGTGGAGCATGTATTACAGCACCGCTGCATCATTCCACAAGTCCCACATGCATCGGCTTCTATCAGCCCCACAACCCCGATTTCTTCTGATGCCACTTCAAATCAACCATGTCACAGATGAGTGAGTGAGTGAGTGAGTGAGTATGGCTTTACGCCGCTTTTAGCAATATTCCTGCAATATCACGGCGGGGGACACCAGAATAGGGCTTCATAAATTGTACCCATGTCGGGAATCGAACCTGGGTCTTCGGCGCGACGAGCGAACGCTTTAACCACTAGGCTATCCGACCTCCCCTGTCATAGATGAAAGAAAATACTGGGCATAGCTAGCAACCATCGATATACATTAATATAACCACGTGAGGATAGGAATGGCCAAACAGATATCTATGATATGCATAATGTATTCATTAATTATTCAAATATGGTTTTACCCAAAAAGATACAAATATGTTCAGTTTAAATACAATCTGTAGAATAGGTCTTCAGCAACCCATGCTTGCCCAAAAAGGCGACTATACTTGTCGTAAGTGGCGACTAACGGGATCGGGTGGTCAGACTCGCTGACTTGGTTGATGCATGTCATCGATCCAAATTGCGTTGATCGATGCTCATGATGTCAATCACTGGATTGTCTGGTCCAGACTCGATTATTTACAGACCGCCATCATATAGCTGGAATATTGCTGAGTGCGGCGTTAAACAAAAAAAGTCTGCCCCATTCTCAATTGGAGTATGTCTTGTTATGTTTGGAATGATAAGTCGCTGTCAAGAAAATGTTTAAAAAAAATATTATTTTTTAAATTGGATATGCCGTACCTATAGAGAGGGGCTCTGAATTCCAGTGGAAGTCGAAATCATGACACTGTTCTTCTTTCAGTTTCTGGAAATGGCTGACATCTGGAAAAGTATTTGATTAAACAAACGTTTATATAACACGACATATGAATCACACGAAACTATCAATACTAAAATATTAAATTCATGTTATCACTAATTATGGAAATACTGATCATGTCATGTTCACATTTCTTATTTTAATATTTATCATGGTCATAGCCAGGTTCACCTTAATCAGGTTCACATTAGCCAGGTTCACATTAATCGGGGTCATCATGAATCAGGTTCACATTAACCAGGTTCAAATTTATCATGTTCAGATTAACAAGGTTCAAATTTATCATGTTCACATTAAGCAGGTTCAAATTAATCAGGGTCATCATTAATCAGGTTAACGCTAACCAGGTTCACATTAATCAGGTTCACGCTAAGCAGGTTCACATTAACCAGGTTCACACTAACCGGCCTAACATAACCAGGTTCACATAAACAGGTTCACACTAACCGGCCTAACATAACCAGGTTTACATTAACAGGTTCACACTAACCATGTTCATATTAACCAGGTTCACAATAATCAGGCTCACACTAACCAGCGTAACATAACCAGGTTCACACTAACCATATCAATACGGAGAACTGCTATTGATAAACAATCGACCACTTTCCTTTCGGGCGTGGCATTTTGGTGCAGATGAAAACATTTCCCTTGTGTGAGTAGTTGTACCGAAAATAACGACAAGAAACGATATTGTTTCCATGTAGGGGATTGAACGCTTTCCCCACTAGTCCACCCTATGATCCTCTCTATCAGTCAGTGGGGCTCAGATTACTTTTCGTTCCATAACAGAGATGACTTAGATTTAAAATTACCATGGACATCAAGTTTTCAGTTTGGTGAAATGTGATGCCATTGGTTTCCAATTTTTAACGCATCAAGCATGACTTGACAAACATTGTCCGATGCAATTCCCCATTTTCATCTGTACCATATGTTTCAGTGTTGTTGTGTTTTTAGGTGGACAATTGACTTGCCTTTGCCGGTGGGGCAGGATACGCCCATCTTTTCGCGAACACCTGGTATCATCACTATTTGAGTGAGTGAGTGAGTATGGTTTTACTCCGCTTTAAGGAATATTCCAGCAACATCACGGCGGGGAACACCAGAAATGGTCTTCACATATTGTACCCTTGTTGGGAATCGAACCCGGGTCCTCGACGTGACGAGCGAACGCTTTAACCACTAGGCTACCCGACCGCCCCATCACTATTTGATGGTGATTCCAAAACACATGATCATGACATAGTCGGTTCGTACAATAGACTCTGTTTTTAGCAGATATTTGTTATTTTGTAAAGGGCTTTGTCGCTTTTCTTGAAAAAAACTAAATAGTATCTTGTTTAAGATTTTGTTGAGCTGTCTTTCTTGTGGTTATCAATCAATTCAACTATGTTTCACACCAACAAGAGGATAGCGAACTTAGTGTCTGTCCAAAATGGTTTGGGAAGATCAATGACCCAGGGAAAAGTAATCCCACGTGTTTCAGAAGATTTCTCGACAACAATGTTGATGTTTCCAAACCTCATGGCCATTACACTGACGAATGATTGATACGTTTCCCTTCTTTAAGCATGTAACCGATACGAATACTTCACTGATAACTTCAAATGCAATTTCCTTTAGCACAACACAAACTTTCACTGTTCATATTTTGTCCGACGTGAAAGTAGCCATTAGAAGGACAGCGTTTGGGCATTATCGTTTGATTGCAATCTGATTGTCTCCGGGGCCATTTCAAGTTCAAAGAGACAACAACTTCAATGATATCTTTCCACCACGAAGAAACAACGTGGATTGAACTTCAAGTACATTATGTGCTGATAGAACACTTTGGTTCAGCGATTGTGTATTCTGTTTGAGGACACCCACCTGTGTCGGAGTATTGAAGGTAAAAATACAAATGCAACGGGAAACGTACGATTGTAACACAAGATGAGCTCGGCTTCATCATCCTCGTAGATGTCAATCGCCGCAACCAAATTCACCTGAAACAAAAATCAAAAGTTAATGGAAGCCATCGAACGACATCCAAAGGCTGGAAGATCAAACGTAACACGTGGCCTTAATCAGTCGCCATTGCATTCCCGTGGACAGGATACAAAATCCCGTGACGTAAGAAATAGCACTAAAATGTACGTGTCGTGTTAGGATTATGCAGCGACTGGAATGAGCGTTCGATAATAACCTTTAACCTAAGCTGGTCGTTAAGTTCGAAAACACTTGGTTTATCGTTTTGAGTTTCAGACTTTATGGTTCTGTCTTATTGTGGTAGTCGTATCAGCTGTTGTATCGTGACATACAATGATGTCCCTGACATCATCGACTATTCGCATTTAAGTAAGTAAGTGAGTGAGTGAGTGAGTATGGTTTTACGCCGCTTTTAGCAATATTCCAGCAATATCACGGTGGGGGGGGGGGGGGGGGGGGGGGGGACACCAGAAATGGGCTTCACACATTGTACCCATGTCGGGAATCGAACATGGGTCTTCGGCGTGACGAGCGAACGCTTTAACCACTAGGCTACCCGACCGCCCCAATTTGCATTTAAGACAATGGTAGCACCGCAGTAAGACCAAAACTGCTTTATAAGCACATATCGAAGCAAATGGAGTTTGACGTAGCGCGTCTTCACTGTATTGTGTTATCAGTGTCACGTCCGTAACGTTTGTCCCAATGTTGTGTTCCCGACGGGAGTCCAGGTGAGCACTGGATCCAAGTAGCTTGTCGTACAATGCGACTCCACGGATCGGAAACCTTCAAGATCCGGGTTAGAAAAGGTCTTCAGCAACCCATGCTTGTCATCAGAGGCAACTATGCTCGTCGTAATAGGCGACGGGATAGGGTGGTCAGGCTCGCAGTCACCGTTGATGTATGTCATCATATCCCAATTGCGTTGATCAATGCTCATGATGTCAATTACTGGATTGTCTGGTCTAGACTCGATTATTTATTAATATCGACATATAGCTGTATTATTACTAAGTGTGTCGTTACACAACAAACAAGCATGGATAGGGTAGTCAGGCTCGGTGACCTATTTGAGTAGAGGCTCATAATATCAGTCACTGGATTATCTGGACTCGATTATGTTCTAACCGGCGTCATATAGCTGGAATAATGCAGAGTGCGCCGTTAAGGAACAATTGATCAAAGCCTATATTGCGAAGCCGGAAAGAGAACTCAACAGGAAAAACTGTTCGAAGGAGTATCAGCAAATAACGTTGGAGAACCACCCTCGATGAGCGTCTTACGAACGAAGCTGTTGCTGTGTCAGTTCATACACTAAGTAAAGTATAAATAAAACTCATAATACAACTCCCGGCGGGGAAGCATCTTTACGGTTTGTTCCGTTCCATATGTGATAAAATATGCACACACAAAATATTCCACAATAAATAAATAACAAACAATTTCGTTCCTGAAATCTCCTCGACTAAACGGCAAACCAGATTTCTTACTCTCAAAGGAGGAGCCGAAGATTGAATATTCTTACAAAACATGTTGTTATAGTGAGTGAGTGAGTATGGTTTTACGCCGCTTTTAGCAATATTCCAGCAATATCACGGCGGGGGACACCAGAAATGGGCTTCATACATTGTACCCATGTCGGGAATCGAACCCGGGTCTTCGGCGTGACGAGCGAACGCTCTTACCACTAGGCTACCCGACCGCCCCCATTTTATTATAGAACATCCAGTATGTCCAGTTAGTATTTTTGATTACCTGGAACTTACTATTTTATGCAGTATTTTTTGGAATAAATTGTTTTTAACACGTCCCATTTTAATTCTGGAAACCCAAAAGTCCAGAAACTCTACGGTCTTTGCCCAGTCTCGGTTAAAGGTATTTACAAAATTAAACATGCCGTTTTCATGGGAACATACCAAGGAAGAAAAAATGAAAAAAAAATTGTTTAAAAACTCAATATTTAGACTATGTCGCCCATGGGCCTGCCCATGGGCGAAGTGTGGCCCATGGGCCTGCCCATGGGCGAAGTCTGGCCCATGGGTAGGCCCATGGGCAGGCCCATGGGCGAGAATATGTTCCTTTACTTAAAACTCATGTTTTTGTTTCGCAAATACATTTAATGTATTCATTCAAGTATCATGACACAAAATTTAACTCATTTTAACTTAATTCAACGATTTTATAGCGATATTGAAATATTTCGCCCATGGGCGAGAAAAAGGTTTGGCCCATGGGCGAGAATATGTTCCTTTACTTAAAACTCATGATTTTGTTTCGCAAATACATGAAATGTATTTATTGAAGTATCATGACACAAAATTTAACTCATTTTAACTTATTTCAACGATTTTATAGCGATATTGAAATATTTCGCCCATGGGCGAGAAAAAGGTTTGGCCCATGGGTAGGCCCATGGGCAGGCCCATGGGCAGACCCATGGGCGAGAATATGTTTCTTTACTTAAAACTCATGTTTTTGTTTCGCAAATACATTTAATGTATTCATTCAAGTATCATGACACAAAATTTAACTCATTTTAACTTAATTCAACGATTTTATAGCGTTATTAAAATATTTCGCCCATGTTTACGTCAGTCCCTTTCAAGCATCAACTAACTCTTTGCAAAGTATATTGTATCATGTGAAATATACTTTATATTATATCATTACATTACTATTTAAAAAGGGCATTTGGTTGGATGTTTCCTTTAGTTCTACAAATTTCACCTGTTTTACATATTGTAGCGATCTTTAATGAACCCGGCCTTACCTCTCAAAACGTTTTGACAGTTTATCATACGAATTCATGTGCGTGTACTCCAATTCATTGGAGTTATTTTCCACAACATTTAATTTTAGTTAGTTTCTATTTCATTTCCCATTTAATGTCCCGTTGATACATCACACTGGGCAATTACGTGACACCAGGTATGCAATATACAGGTACGCGTGCGCGTATTTTAATGAAAAAAACTATTCGTCTTTTATTGCATAACGTTTGGCTGAATATCTTACATTCTAACGAAATCTCGAAATAATTATTTAATTACATGCGGTTTCGAACTGACCAGTGGGAAGGAATTATGTTTCAATGCGATTGAGGAAAACGTGAGTGAATATTGTGACACTAAAGCAACTTTTAACTGCATTGTCACTTTTGGTATGAAAATGGTAACAGTTCAGAAAAAACAACAGCCTTCTTATGATAATTCTCATTAGTACGTTGTATCTAATTACAGTGTCGGCCTTATTTACAGGTGATTCTACAATACCTGCTCTCGGTCAATTACGATCTACTACACCACGCGTGAATAAACAGTTATGCAGGTGTTGCTGTGGGCAAATACCTAGCCTGAAAATGTTTATTTTTTTTAGGATACATGTTTTACAAATGTTCGTTGATATGTGGATATATTAAGCACAAAGACAAAAACATGTTTATGAAAGATGAATTAGTGCCTTGATATATTCATCGAGATGTGTATCATCGTTTAATGGGGTCATTCAATAAACGTATGTTTGGAGGAGATATCAAAGGAGCCGCCCAATATACACAGTGTCGTCCGGTGAACTACCACCCCACCCTGTCCATTAGAGTTATGTAATCGGTACACAAATATATTTGATGCGGTGTCAGTGCGGAAGGAGTTTGAATTACGTCCGCCAGTTGTCACAGAAATCCTCAAAGTATAGAAACAATAAACAAGGTCAATCCGTACTAATTACCTAGTGACGCACGTAACAACGACTGTCAATAGGGAAAATGGTGAAAAGAAATAGAAATAGATTTTAATAAAACATTACTGTACTACATAACTCGCAAAAGCGGTGCCTAAAATTTTCTGACGAATAGCAAGTAATTGTCATGCTGTACGCATGGTTCCATATACAAATTCAGTTATACAACCGGTATGAAACTGAGAACTGAGATACCAAGTACAACCTGCATTCACACACGGAAGCAATATACTTGTGTGTATGCCCTCTCCTCTAAAAAATGTATCACTAAAGTATTTGCATTGTAATAAATATAGTAATGATAAAACTTGGTAATTTGGTAGGTCTCCGACAGATATGATTTTCAGTTTTTCTACACCTTTGATTGATACGGATTACGTACCTGTAGTCTAGTCACTGTCTCTAATGTATCTGCTTCTTAGAAATTTCAAATGTCTTGTTATAGCACTGTTCCTAAAATACGGCATTTTCTTTTATCGGGTATAAATAGTTGATTCGTCTTGTCACGCAGTCATTTTTTACTTGATCGAATGATTTCCACCAAAAATTACGGCAGAGAGTTTTGTATTTTATTATATTTTTAGAAGATTTTAGAAGATGCTTACATCACTGTATCTCAGAACGTAAAACTGATAACATTCAAACATGTAATTAGTACACAGTTAATTGTTACATATAATTTCCTGCATATTCCTTTTTGAACAAAAAGCCTACATGTATACTGATATCGGTGTCCACTGTTAAAAGGGTATTAGTGCAGTCAGCCATGGTAAATGGAGAGACAATAATAAGGTGATTAATTATAGTCTGTTGCAGAATATGCGGTATAAGTGTAGTCATTGATACATATACACATTACACATATACAGATGAAATACACGATATGATGCAGTGCAAGAACAAATTAAGATACGGTTTCTATTAAAAATAATTATACGATTTTGGATTTAATTAGCATGTTTAAATTTTCAGGCCAACACGGCTGAGATACAGCATCGGCATACTCAACTGGAGTTGTTTTCTGCCGGTCGTAAGTTCATTGTTTGACTGAGCACACTCGTGTCGGGGTTGCGATATTTTCTTCTCTTTGTTGGCAGCCTGCCACCGGTCTGAATTTTGAGAAAGGTCTCAGCATGGGACTGTTAATTACTTCTTAATGACGTCTACAAGCTTACAAACTTGTAGATGTTGGGTGCGGTTAGGACCAAACTTTTTCAGCTCAGAGTGTTAGTGGTCCTGGAACCCATAGTGTCAAACAGGTTCTGCACAAAACGTCCATCAGATTCTACTGTTCAGCAACATTGTCACTGAATTTCAGAACTCTGGCATGATATAATAATCAAGGATTTCGAAGGTGAACGAGGGGAAAGGCAGACGCACGTGGATTTACCCTCAGGTTATTATTGTCTGGAGTTCACATTTTGGGGCATTTCATATACTAATTGAACAGAGTTCACCTGCACATGTCCACTTTAGTGATACAGACTGTAACCAAAAATGCAATGAGCCGTAGCTCTTAATCCCTTATAACAACGGTAACAACAACCAGGGTGAGGACACAGTAAGGTTAAACCGTGTCCAACAGACAATCTGAGGTGGCTATCTCCCATCAAGTCAGCTCTGTTTTTAAGCGCATAGTTATGTTTTTACATATTGAAATAAAAGGAATTTAAAAAATTATATTTAACAAACCTACACATTACCAAATACAAAACTGTATAGCCCTCTCTAGACTTCGTTCCAATTAACCTGGATCATTCAACTCGCTCGCGAAGGTCGTATGCGACTTTAAAGTGAATACGTCTACAGTGTACAAGTAACTTTTAACTGTATCATATATACTCATGATAAGCAATTATTTTCGTTCCTAATTCGAATGAGCACATTCTGAGGCTAAATCTGCAAAAGGACAGATAAAATATTTCTTTGTACAATGCAAACGATACAAACGTAGCGGCTGATAATAGAGACAATGATTTAATAATCTGCAATATATCAAGTGTTCTCGTTCAATCTATTGTACATATTGAAGTGATTGTAAAGTTTCAAGGAGTACTAAAATGTTGTGGTATTATGAATGTATTTAGAATATGAATAGCGAAAAACAGTCACCATATCGGATGTACACGTATAACTTGTCTTCCAACACCACGCTTGTGCCGAGGCCCATGGTCATAAAACTAATCGGTCCCATAAAAGGAGCAAATAGTTTCGCAGATACTTCTTGCTATGGTTCACTCACAATTGTCAGACGACCTAATCATCAGTCAGACCAGTCAAGTGTGACCAGCGTACCTGCCTGGTTTTGGCTCCTAATTACTGAAGTGCCCAATACTTTCATACTGTGGGCAAAGTAAGCGGCCTCGTTGAGTGATACAGACTAACCAGATTATGATTGTGTTTGTAAGTTGCGTTTAATCTGTGTCGGGTTGCAGTTGTTTTATTAGTCAAGACTAGGGGTAGTTTTTTCAATGAAACCTTTTAGCCGTTGAGTTTGTTTTGCATTCATTTCATTAAATACATTGTTAGGTAGAATAATAACACGTTATATGGATAAAACATCTCCCTAATCTGAGTATAATCTCACATGTACTCTAAGTACCGTACTATATTACTTTGCGAAGACACTGAGTATAATTTTTAGTTGGCATTGTATGCTGTCTGAATGACTTTACACAAATCCCTGCATTCAATAGACCCGTGAAGATCTTCAACAAACCATTCTTGGCGTAAAAGGGCGACAGCGCTTGTCGAAAGAAGCGACTACCGGGATCGGGTGGTCAGGCTCGCTGACTGGGTTGATGCATGTCATCGTATCCCAATTGCGTGGATCGATGCACATGATGTCAATCACTGGATTGTCTGGTCCAGACTCGATTATTTACAGACCGCCGTCTTACAGCTGAAATATTGCTAAGTGTGGCGTTATACAACTAACAAACAAACAAAACACAAAAAGAGAAAGTGTATGAGTACTAAAACTTGCAATAGATATGCGTACCCTACGTACACACATGTGTCCCATTCGACAGTCTACAACACACGAATAACTGTCAAACAAGTTTGGGTACCCTTTCTGTTCAGGCAAGTTATTTAGTTCGATAATTTTGTATTAAAATCCTTTAAATTTAAATATAACATTAATATCAAATGGTTGACGGTTAACATCCCAAGAAGAATCTGAAGTACATTGGTCGAGGAGTATGTATATTTAACTGTATCTTACCTTGTTGGATTCCACGTGATACAGCTGTAGGGTGTCGCCATTCTTCTCGTTGATGAGATCATACTGGTTTTTGTAGCCGATACAAATGTGATTATCTCCCTTCATGCCGTCAATCAACGTTATCATGCTTGGCACCTCAAAGGCTTGTAATTCCTGAAAATACGGGTGAGTGAGTTAAGATGAAGTAAGTGAGTTGGGTTTAACGCCGCTTTTAACTGTATTCCAGTTATATCACGGCGTGTCAGCTTAATGTGGGAGGAAAGCCCGAAGTGATGCAGGTCTCAGACGTTTACCACTTCGGTGAAAACCACGAGCTGACAAACCTAGAAACATAATCGGGGAGAACCGGGATTCGAACCCACAATCACAGGTTTCTGGGGTGCCTCATGGACGCAACTCTGCACAGCGAATCGCGGCGCCTTAGACAACTGGGCCACCCGTGCCCCCGTTAAGATTAAGGCTGCGTTGAACAGAATATCATAAATATCAGGGCATGTAGTTTAAACCCCGAAGTGACGTGAAAGACTGCGTGTATAGAACTGTGGTGAAACCAACTTACCGCGTAATGGTCCTCCCCGCTTTGAATAGTTTTTCATATTTTTTTAAAAATGTGGTCGGAAATCCCAAAGTGATCTTTTGGATGAACGGTTACAAGACTACAAAACCAGGGTCATAATATGGGTGAACCTGGTATCCGAGGCCCCGGTTAACTAATCCTGACATGACTAAGGGACACAACTCTGGATGAATTGTGACGCTTTAGACAACGGAACCATCCCCGCACTCGTATTTAAGGCAAGCAGGGGATCATAATAAGTTGGTTATATGTATTCGCCGTTCGAATTCAAACATTAAAAAGAGTACAGTCATGCTCAGAAGTATAATTATTACAGAAAATTAACAGATAATGAATTATTTTGTTTTGTTCTTGTTGTGTTGTTTAGGCATTTGACATAAAACAGTCATGGTTTGAAAGAACACACGAACAACACCGACAATCCTTATTCATATTTATCAATACAATCATCATTTTGAAGACACTTTTGAAAATTAGCTCAGGGGGATGATGCTGTGATAACGTCTCGAAGGATGATAATGGCGGATCCTCACAGTCATCGGATGCGCTTTGTGACAAGTCCCTTGTGTTTAAAATGCGTGGCATTGATCGGAGCAAGAACGAAGCGTTTCCCCAAGTCTCACGGAGTCTCCGAGGCGTCTGTTTACTCACCAATGATGACACTACCTCTCTGATGAAATTACGCTAACACATTTATCATTCCAATCTGGCAGGAGATAATGGACTGTTTGAATGATGTAAAAAAAATACACACTGGCATCTCAGTATTCATAAGGGGGCGGTGGGGTAGCCTGGTGGTTAGAACACTTGCTCGTCAAGACCCAGGTTTGATTCCCCTAATGTTTGGTTTACCTATTCCTAAAATATTGCTGAAGCAGCGTTAAACCCATTTTATTCACCCATCATATATTCATAACATTAAAAAGGACATTTTAGCTAGTGTCTTTAGAAAACTAAAGTTATATTTGACCACATTCTTTTGTAACATTTAATGACATGTTTTCAATAAATACATGGAAAGAATAAGGAATTCAGTTTGTTGAGATATTTTATCATGGGTCTTGGGTATCATATTCATTCAGTGAAACCACATACTTTATTTTGTCACGCGAACAACGCGGGTTTTGCCAGTTTGATATAAAAATCAGAAGATTATTCTGTTTGGTAAATACAAAACGTCAAGGCCAGAGAATAATCTGCCTTACTTGTGGGCCCAAATAGATTCCATGAGGCGTGAACGCAAAAAAGCGGTTCAAAATGAGACAGTGTTTTCGACAACGCTGTGAGTGAGGTGTGAGTGAATTTTAACGCTGTTTTATGTCATTCATAGCACTTTGTCATCTTCATTACCGACCCTTGAAGATCAGGGGTAGAATAGGTCTTCAGCAAACAATGCTTGGTTTGGACAATGCGACTAACGGGATTGGGTGTTTAGGCTCGCTGACTTGGTTGATGCATGTCATCGTATCCCAATTGCGTGGATCGATGCCCATGATGTCAATCGCTGGATTGTCTCGTCCAGACTCGATTATTTACATACCGTCGTCATATTGCTGAGTACGGTGTTAATAAAAAAACACAAGCTAACAAAGCATCTTCATTACCGACCCCCTCGCTGCCACCGCCATCACCACACAGACATCAACATCAGCACAACCTCCCCGTTAACAACCCATCCCAGCACTCTGAATCCTCTACTGGATCTGGGCGGTCGGGTAGCCTAGTGGTTAAAGCGTTCGCTCGTCATGCCGAAAACCCGGGTTCGATTCCCGACATGGGTACAATGTGTGAAGCCCATTTCTGGTGTCCCCCGCCGTGATATTGCTGGAATATTGCTAAAAGCGGCGTAAAACCATACTCACTCACTCACTCACTCTACTGGATCTTAAGCCACTGATACGTCACCGCTCTGATAGTCTCTTTATTCGTATTATTTGTATGACATAGGCCCATGATACAAACGGAAAATGTACAGTGGAAGTTCGAGGATCACATTTATGTATTTAACATTGATTGTCTAAGATACATGGCTTTAACAATAAACTAAGAAAGACTTTGTACAGTTGCTCGATGGACAGATGACATTAGGATGTTGAACTTTTGCCTTGTTGGGAATTCATAATATTTTCGCGGTATAAATTCTGCCCTCAGAATCTGGTAACATTTGCATATGAGAATAAAATGGTACTCATCTTCAACATAATTGTATTCACATACTTTGCAAACTCGTTCCACTTTAGGTTCCGTTTTGTGTCGACCAGATTCGATCAGAAGATGATGGGAACTACACCGTAATCTAGCCAGAGCATGTCGAAATTTCTCTTGTGGTAACATAGTGATATATATTTCCAGGCCAATAGTTCTATGATTTGGAGCTTTCTGAAAGCTGCATGCCAGTCTTGTTCATATGAAGATGTTAATCTCCATAGAAATTTATTCATAAACATGGGGATATTTGTGATACATTGGTGCTCCCACACAAGGCCAAAACCTGTTAGCTGAATAATACTTCTAATTCTTGAAGCCCAATTAATTTTACCATTTTGGAGCGCCTGAAGTTGCATGTTATAACATTTTTTGACATATCGTGAGTCAGGCTTTTTCAAAATATTACACCAGTATTTAACAGCTCTTTTATACACATAATATACAGCGGATAACGTCCACATTTACCTCTCACAACATGATTTGAGGTTGAGTTTCCAACTCCTAAAAAACGTTTACAAACAATTATATGTTCGCTCTCAATTTCGTTACAAATGTCAGGACTCAAGACCCATATTTCTGACCATATAACATTAACGTCACCATTGATACGATACATCTGGTTACAAGGGGATTATAAGAGATCACGTGACTACTGTTTTCCCCAACACCTGAACAAACAGTAGCCCTATTTGTACTTGAACTCTTGACCCAAGCTGCGCTGTGGCCAAATCCCTTTAACAACACTTCTAACGATCCATTCAGATCAACAACTTGGCGATATGTTCTTAGATGGGCAGGGGGTCATTTGTAAAGGGATGGTGGTGCGTGCGTATTTTAACATGGTAAACAGTCGGGGTAATCGTATTAGGGTTTGAGGAAGCGCCTACCCTGATAAAAGTGAATCCATCTATGGTGTCAAGGTCGACCGAAGGACACCAGGCGGACCAGGCGGCGGAGTGCTTCCAGTGGAACACCAAGAGTCTCTTGGCCACCGCAACCACCATTCGGAGGTGACTCCCCCCGGGCTTGCTGAGGGAGTACAGGTGGCACCCTAGGGAAAACACAGTGGACATTTATATAAGGATGGCATGGCAGTTGTCGTGGATGTCGTAAGACTGCAGCTGATGTATTTGGATTGTAAATGATGTGGGATAGTCAGTTATTCATGAGATTGATAGGTATCCCTAGGATGTACGTCCTGGCGAAGGATTGTAATTGAGGTCACAGGATTGTGAGGGATATCACTGAATTGGGAGTGATATCATAGTATTGGGAGTGATTTCACAGGGTTGTGAGCTGTGTTTGTTTCTTGTTCAACGCCGCAATCTTCCAGCTGTATGACGGCGGTCTATAAATAATCTGATCTGGACCAGACAATCCAGTAATTGACATCATGAGCATCGATCCACGCAATTGGGATACGATGACATGCATCAACCATGTCAGCGAGCCTGACCACCCAATCCCGTTAGTCGCCTTTTACGATTATAATTGAGATCACGGAGTGCACGTCAAGTTATAGAATAATTTGTGATATCACAGGATTATAATAAATTGATGATGACTCGATCGTCATGGCAATTGTTAACAACATCATCCTGACATTTAAAGGAATGTTATGAACGAGTTCTGTGCGTGCCATGTTCATATTCAGGCAAATCAATCCCCGTGAAGATCCGGCTTAGAATTGGTCTTCAGCAGCCAAAGCTCGTCGTAAGAGGCGAATAACGGGACTTGGTTGATGCAGGTCATCGTATCCCAATTGCTTGGATCGATTCTAATGACGTCAGTCACAGGACTGTCAGGTTCAGAAACGGTTAGCTAGAGACCGTCGTCATATAGCTGGAATATTGCTGAGTGCGGTGTGGAACAAACAATATTTTGAACACAATACTTTTACCTTTTGTTCTCTCCAGTTTGTGCTCCCGACATTCAGACTTAGTTCGCGTGATAGATTCGTTCTGTTCACCCTCAAAATCCGTCAGACGAAAAACGTTGATTTTTCCGTCTTTGCCTAAATAAGAAAACATTCCATAATTGTTTAAAAATTCAATGCAGCTCATAGATGTAATGCCTGATCAGTAAATAGATATAAGATCTTTAAGTAAATACAAGTTCGCTTCCCGTTAAGGATACATTGGGTTGTTAGTTTGTTACATTTTGTATGCGTATCGGATAATTTTGCATATTTTACGCAGACGCATAGCTTATAACGGGACGAATTTAATCACCTTTACAAGGCTGTGATGACGTGATATACGTGATTATGCTTTTTGAGATTATGCTTTGGTGTTGACGTTATATATTTACAAGCATTTTCCGAGTAAGAAAAGGTATGTAATTCGTCCAGTGTTTTCTGTAGCTCCGCATTAAGCGTGAAATACCTTTCTCACTCCTCATGATGAGAAGTCCATGCGCTTCTACGACACTCAGCTGCCGAACTGAAACTGTCTTCTCAAAGATAGCCCGCGGTGGAAGCCCCTCTGACAAAATCAATAATTTTGCAAAATGGTGAACAATGCGTCACAATAACTATACCACATTTGTGCTTGTCATTTGTGGTCAGTATAATTATTTCTTTCCACAGATGGATTTAAGCTCGGAAAAAGGGAAAACGGAACACGTGCGACACGCATACGCACGCACGCACGCACGCAAGCACGCACGCACGCACGCACGCACACACACACACACACACACACACACCTACATCCTCTTATTTCACAAATAGGGGCAGTGGGGTAGCCCAGTGTTTAAAGAATTTGCTCGTCACGCCGAATGCTCGGGTTTGATTCCCCACATAGTTACAATGTGTGAGGCCCCCTTCTGGTGTCCCCCCGACATGATATGGCTGGAATATTGCTAAAACTCGGCGTAAAACCATACTCGCTCACTCACTACCTATTTCTATTATTTCACGTATGAGGGCGGTCTGAAAAATAATCGAGTCTGGACCAGACAATCCAGTGATTGACATCATGAGCATGGATCCACGCAGTTGGGATACAAAGACATGCATCAACCAAGTCAGCGAGCCTGACCACCCGACCCCGTTAGTCGCCGCTTACGACAAGCACAGTCGCCTCTTACGGCAAGGATGGGTTGCTGAAGACCTATTCTACCCCGGATCTTCACGGGTCCACATTAAGTACAGGTGTCTATTTGAGGAAATACGGTGTGTTTACTCGGGGTCTATGCCTGTTAGCAATAGCATAATAATAATAATGTGTACACAACTCTTACTTATGAGGTAAAGTAATTTATGTGGTCACGTCTCCGGACAGTTAATGTCAACCATTTGACACATTGACGCAATGAAAACATACCCTCTAGCACCATAATTCCGGATTCCGTGGAGATAATCAACTTGTCACCTGCAGAGACAGTGATTGACAGGTGTCAGTATTGACATAAACATGTTCATAAAGTACGATGATTATAACACAATGGCCTACATATTGATGCGTTCGGCATAAAAAAGAAATGGAAAAATATATTATAACGAGGCTGTCAACTTTTAAAAAGATAAAAATCTGCATTTTAAAACGTATTTCTAGTCCATTGTTTAATTTGATTGATCAGAGGCGAAAACTAATTCTCAAACATAAAAGTAATTGTGATCCATTTGTCAATGACTCCAAATGAATATAAAACAATGGTTATTAATCTTCAAACTGTCTGCACCACAAAACACTTTTTAAAAATGCCCAGGCTAGATTGATGAGTATAAAGATCTTTGAATCGTCACTTTCAACATTGAATACTCTTAAATACTGTTGGACATACGAATATATATCTCTAAACAAAGGAAAATAAAAGTTTAAAAAGTTTGAGGTTGTTTACATCTTAACATAAAACAGTAAAATCTTTAGAATATATACATATCAGGCGGCCATCGTCAACATATTTAACTACCAGTATATTTACGACATCTTAAAAGAAAAATGTTTTTGAGTTTTGAATTATATGTTCCCAAAACAACACAAAATGATAAACATGAACACAGTTTGAAGTGTGTCTTGTTTCCGAAATAAAAAAGTCAAACCTATGATTACGTTCTTCAAAATTTTGAAAGAAACGGCGAGAACGTTATTAACATCAATGCCGATTTTTACTGGATTTAATTGGGATAGCAAATCCAGCTTTGACTCACCCCAAGAATCCCCACAGATGATGTGATGGGCAAACTCGCAGTAACACTTCTGAGGTTCCCAGGGCTGAAACAAAATTAAAAATATACGTTTTAGAGTTTGGTGAGATTTAAATTGTGTTATGTTTGAGTTTCCGCGAAGTTTGAATCGTTTTGGCACTCTGTCCATATATATCAGCGTTATAAATTGTCTACGGAACGATGAGAAATAAAATTAATAAGAATTGAGGGAACACAGAGCTCAGGTGAGGTAAAATGGGGTTTAACGTTGCGTCCAAGATTACTGCGCTCATATAGCGACGTGCATGCACGCCGAAGACCCGGGTGTCCCCTGCCGTGATATTGCTGGAATATTGCTAAAAGCGGCGTAAAACCTAACTCAGTCACTCACTCACTGGTCCGGACTGATGCCGATTTATAGTGCCAGTCGTCTAAGGCGCCGCGATGCTCTGTGCAGAGTTGCGTCCCTTAGGCACGCCAGAAACCTATGATTGTGGGTTTGAATCCCGGTTCGCCCCGATTATGTTTCTAGGTTTGTCAGCACCATACCCGTGCTCGTGGGTTTCACCGAAGTGGTAAACGTCTGAGACCTGCATCACTTCGGGCTTTTCCTCCCACATTAAGCTGACACGCCGTGATATAACTGGAATACTGTTAAAAGCGGCGTTAAACCCATCTCACTCACTCACTCACCCTTACCACGGGCTTATCACCATATTATTGTAATGTTTGGTATAGCGTTCATTTTAATTAATTCTTTACATCGCATATTGCGATAACACAGAGATATGGACATAAAGATGTAAGCTTACCTCCCGCCTCAGTAAACTGGACAGACCGGAAGTGATGAGACTGGTTGGAGCATCGCCCTTCTCGATTGTTTTCACCTTCAGACCCTAAGGTAAAAACATCACATGAGAGACACAATACTACCCGAAATTAACAACTCCTGGTTCTAAATTATATATTTCCATGTGATGTGTTTCTCAATTTGTTTGTTGATTAACGACGCACTCTGAGAGAGTTATTCAAGCTGTATGATTTTGGTTGGGTGGTTTGTTGTTTAACGCCGCACTCAGCAATATTCCAGCTATATGACGGCGGTCTGTAAATAATCGAGTCTGGACCAGACATTCCAGTGATTATATCATGATCATCGATCCACGCAATTGGGATCGATGACATGCATCAACCAAGTCCGACCACCCGATCCCGTTAGTCGCCTTTTTGGGCAAGCATGGGTTGCTGAAGACCTATTCTACAGCGGATCTTCACGGGTATCAAGCTGTAATAATACGGTGGCCTGTCAATAACTATGACCGTATAGTCATTGATACAGAAGCAACGTTATTGAGCCTTATCACCTAGACACAATATTTAATGTTGGTTCACTTCGATATGGGTAAAAATACACATCGATACATCAAATCCTAGAGATGACATCATCTATATGATGTGAGGTGAATGAAATGGTGACTGTTATAATTCGTGTTCAAGATTATTACACTTATATAGCGACGTGCATGCATGCATATGCGTGTGTCTGTCTGCTTGTAATCATTCGGACTAATGCTAGTTTTACAGATCAAGCCCACTCAGATGCCGCGGGTTAACATGAATACTCCAGTCCGAGACAACCAGTCCTTGGTTTTACCCCCTCAAAGCCGATTACCAGGCAGGGTAACAACAAGTACCATATCTCAAGGTCATGTGGCATGACGTGGCCCGGTATGGAACGCTCTACTAACTACATCACGGAGGCGATCTATAGACGTACACTACTGCCTAGAAGTTCATTCCCCTTACACGCATGGGCAACGCGTTACGCAACCAGTGTGCATCGGGTTGGTCACGCGTGTGAGACCCGTGTGCAACGCGTTGCACACGGGTGTGCACCCCGTCCGCCACTCGTGTGCAACGCGTGACACACTCATTAGAGGGGGAACAAACTTTTGACCAAAGGAGGACCCGTCTTAAGCTGAACCTGGAGGTGGTAACAAGGAGAGAAAATTTTGTTATCCTGACGAAAAATGATAATACACATGTATTTCCTAATGTCTCCTTTCTTTATGTGATTTTGTGGGAATAACATGAATACTGTTGCGATTAAATAGATCTGTTTTGTTTTATACGACCATTGCTTCTAAATCCGATGGTGTTAATTAAGAGAATACATGGTCCTGGAACATGTTATTGCAATTGAAATGCTTTTATTGTGATTTGACATTAACCGTCTGTAGTACGACTTTCAGTGATAATATGTATGAGGTTTGGCGGCGCATTGTTTTTATTGGACCCTGATTACTTTATGATGACTTGGACTCTTTATCACAGCTCCATAGCCGTGAGGCTGGAAAAGAGCAGCATGTAATTAATGAGGGTGGGTTATATCATTGAGGATACACTTGAGGGAGAGAATACTAATTACCGTACTACAGGAAGAGACCTGTAGACGTAAGCGCGGGGTTGTGTTTTAGCTGGCCGTTTGATAATGGCCGCCAGGAGAAGTGAGCTTTGCCTGCATCATCTAAAATAAATAATAAGATACAGCAGTGTTATTTTCACGGTCTGTTGAATAAACTCCCAGCGCAACGGTCAATGTATCTTCTACTTGATCCTTGATACATCATTTTGTCTTTCACAATATATAGTATTTCAACGTACAAAGGACACTGATCTAAAGCAATTCCGCGGGAGTAGTTGTTACCTGTGCATTACTGTATTTTCCCAGTGAGTACCCGGATGATATAGCAGAAATCTAGACTTGTTCGCGACCTGTGCTCGCCATTCGTAAGCGCATTTTAATTGAAAGTAGAAGGACGTATGGTCACACTGATCAACAAAAATGAAATACAGTTTTTGAAATGTAGGTATATTTGTGGGGAGCATCGGTAATGGTGATGCAGTTTTGATAAGTCACTTGCTTAGTAATTGTGCAATCTTCGTGTACACTATTTTGACTTGCAACACAGAGTAAATATTTCACTGAACATTGCTTATTTTACCGTGTGTATATGTTTACATTCAAAATGTAAACAGATTTCACTAAGGAAATGTATTAAAACGCCTAAATATTCAGTTTATTTCACAAATTAACTGAAAAATATGTCCATCTTTATTAATATGATAACGAATTCCAAATATGTTTAATACCATCACCAAGTACAGTTCTGTATTGTTTGGCTTCTTTTCTTAGCATAATTAATATATTGTGATGTGTTTAAGCTCTCTTGGTCGTCTTTATCATTTTTAGTCAGTCGGTTAAATAAATGAATGGATTATTCAGTCAATTTGTAAAATGACTGAAATATTTAGATATTTAATAAATTGCCTGAGTGAATCATATTTTACACATTGACTGTAACATATACACGCTTACAAAAGAAAATACTTGTGAAAACACCGTCTATCGCGCATCGAAAAACTTCCCAACCAAACGGAAAGGAACAAGAATGATTCTGTTCAAAGCTGCAGCGAATGAATGAAAACAAAATGCAAATATCATTATAACAACCTACCAAAGTTATAATGTATCCGGGAATATCAACATACAGGAACAATATCCATTGCGTCTGCAGCTGTACAAAAATACTTATTCGATGTAAAATGTCTATGTGAGAATCAAATACTTTAATAATAATTATTTGGAAACAATATTTGGAAACAATATTTGGAAACAATATTTGGAAACAATATTTGGAAACAATATTTGGAATATATATGAAATATATTAAAATATTTAAATATATCGTTTTTAAACGTTATTTAAATGTATCGAATAGTATAACCCGTGTTTGTTTCTTAACTGATCACTTATTTTGTTTCAATTGTTTCACATAGGTGCCAAGTTAGCTGAGAAAGCCCACGTGACAACTATTTTTATAATGTCCACGGTTCTTAAAAACATACATTGAGTTAGATAACAATGAACAACTAGTCAGTGTATTATCGGTTACCCTTTGAACAAAGTACATTCGATGGTCCTTCAGCATCAACATTGTCGAGGTGTAATTTCATTTGTTTCTTATATTAAAGCTTGAAATTCTTTATGATCCTGGCATCTAGTGTTAATTGTTAAAGTTAATCTCTGCAGCCGGTGCGTGTCAAAACACGGGGTTGTGTACTCGCGGGCAGATGACCACGGAGTACGCTGACCACTGTGTCGGATTAACGAGACTGATTAATGAGTGATTTCAGTAATTCGTTGCAAATTAGGTGTGTCGGAGTCGGAGTGCGAGAATGTCGGATTAACGGGACTAAATAGCGCTGAATCAATCGGTTCCCATCATTTGTGTCGGATAAAGCCGAGCGTCGGATTAACGAGACTTGACTGTATGTTGTTTTTACATCTGTACTTCACGCCATGATATGAGTATTCCCTAGGTTTAGTAACCCTACCTTCACATGTAAACACTTACTTTTGACGTATCCACTGTGCAAGATAACAGTAATTAATCAATCAACGTATTTCCTGTTGATCCTTTGATGTCTGGGAATGATCAGTTGATTTACAAAAAAAGTAAAGCAACTGATCATACATCACTTGCTGGGCTGCGACGTGCATAACTCACATTCCACCTCACTTCAAACCTGGATTTAGATTAAATAATTACCCCACGTACAAGAAAGACCAAATTTGAACCTTTATCGGGTAATCTGAGTTGTGCTACAACTAAGTATACATGTTATAAATTCATTAACTGAGCAGCAAGTGAATTACGACAAATACACAAGTGTAGGGTTATACCAGAAAATGTGGATGACAACAAGGGAGTAGTAATTGTATCATCCACGCAATCCGAAATCCGCAAATGCTTTCACTCAGGGATACTTTTTTATTATCAAACTGTAACAATCAGGGGTATTTCCAAATGACGACATCCGATGAGCTTTCGCCGTTATTTGTCTGTTTGTTTAGGCTGAAGAAATTAATTACTATGCGCCCTTTGTTGAAATCTTCATAGATCACGGGTAACCAATCAGTTTTCAAAAATGCGTAAGTTTATTTAGCTGTCCTTGCAGACTGGTAGCCCAGTCTCTTGTCACGCTCGGTTGCGTTAACGAGCAAATTGACTCACGGCAGCTAGTAAGCCCAAGCGGAAATCCAAAGGTCGTGCTACCTGAAGAATCAACCTTCATTTGCGAAATATCTACTGCTCTCAAAATCAATATTTCTCCCAATACTAAAAGTCAGAACTTTCTAACCAAGGAGTACCAGTTGAAACTGGTCGATGGCTGAACATTCCCAGGGAAGACAACCAGTGTCCACTCTGTGATTCTATCGCCGTGGGAGATGAATTGCATTACATCCGATGTGAAGCTTTTCACCAACGGCGATATGAACTCTTAAATAAGCAATATCTTAAGTTTCCAAACATTTAAGAAAATTATGACCACTAACAGTGTAAGAAATCTTAAAGGCCTATCTAAATTCCTTAAAAATGTGTACAATACAATTGGTAAATTGTATTAGTATCCACGTATCCTATTTTTATTAAATTGTACATAATAAAAATTGTAGATAATTGTATGTCATGTTATTCTAAGAATAAATGAGTTTGAGTCCGACACCCGAGAAGAAGCCAGAGATTAGTGCCCCTTTTTGAATAGTTTACAATCATGTGTTTTACCGTTAGCTGTGTTGGCTTAAACGTATTTTTATTTCAAAAGAAATCTGTATCGGTAAAAAAGCAAAACATGCTTATGTAATACCTCTCCAGGTAACAACTTAACAACCGCTGGATATATATAAGAGAGTGATGAACATAAACATACAAAATGCACAAATGAAAGCAAGCAAGTGGTGTCTTTGAAATAAGGTAATGCAGTTTTCCTTTACTACATGCATAAACTTAAGCTACTCAAACCTTTTGCTTTTGACAATGATGTCGTGAAC